TTTTTTTTTTTGATTTTTTTAAAAAAAAAAAAATAAAGAAAAATAAAAAAAAGAAATAATGAAAATATTTACCTAAAGCTTGAACATCTTCTCCTTCCATTTTATTTATATTTATATATGTATTTATTTATTTAATTTGAAATAATAAAAAAAAAATTTTGAATTTATATGAAAAATTTAAATAAAAAATAAAAAATAAAAAATAAAAAATAAAAAAAATTAAAATTTAAAAAACCCATTCGCACCCATCCCAAACCAAATGATCTTTTTTTATTCATATTTTCAAACAAAATGATAATAATTTGTTTTTTATAAAAAAAATTTTATGCCAATAAAATAATAATAATTTTACTCTTATATTCTGGTTAAATTATAAATTTTTATTAGATTTAATTACAATTATTTTATCTACAAAAAAAAAAAAAAGAAAAATACTTATAATTTTTTATTAAATTTTAAAGAAATAACCAAAATATAGTCGTTAAAAAATTTTTTTAAAACAAATAATCAAAATATATTATTATTGTTTAATTCAAATTAATTACTTGGAATGTATATAAAAATAGATTTGAAAAATGATTACCTGTGTGTTTATTTATTTTTTTTAACACCACACCCCACAAGAACTGGGTAAGCCAAAAAAAAAAAAATTATTTTAATAATAATATCCATAAAACCCAATTTTTATTTATTTTATTTTATTTTTTTTTTTTTTGATTTTTTTGATTTTTTTTTTTTTATAAATTCAGTTTTCATTTTTTATTTTCATTAATTACTTTAAATTTAAATAAATATATACAAATACAAATAAAATGGAAGGAGAAGATGTTCAAGCTTTAGGTAAATATTTTCATTATTTTCTTTAAAAAAAAAAAAAAAAAAAAAAAAAAAAATTTAGTTATTAATTTAAAATTTATTTAAAATATTATAGTTATTGATAACGGTTCAGGTATGTGCAAAGCCGGTTTCGCTGGGGATGATGCCCCAAGAGCTGTTTTCCCATCAATTGTTGGTCGTCCAAGACACACTGGTGTTATGGTCGGTATGGGTCAAAAAGATTCATATGTTGGTGATGAAGCCCAATCAAAGAGAGGTATCTTAACCCTCAAATACCCAATTGAACACGGTATTGTTACCAACTGGGATGATATGGAAAAAATCTGGCATCATACTTTCTACAACGAATTACGTGTTGCCCCAGAAGAACACCCAGTCTTATTAACTGAAGCTCCATTAAATCCAAAAGCTAACAGAGAAAAAATGACTCAAATTATGTTCGAAACCTTCAACACTCCAGCCATGTACGTTGCCATTCAAGCCGTCTTATCATTATATGCCTCAGGTCGTACCACCGGTATTGTTATGGATTCAGGTGATGGTGTTTCCCACACTGTTCCAATCTACGAAGGTTATGCCTTACCACATGCCATCTTACGTTTAGATTTAGCTGGTCGTGATTTAACCGATTATATGATGAAAATCTTAACTGAACGTGGTTACTCATTCACCACCACTGCTGAAAGAGAAATCGTCAGAGATATCAAAGAAAAATTAGCCTACGTCGCCTTAGACTTCGAAGCTGAAATGCAAACTGCTGCCTCATCATCCGCTTTAGAAAAATCATACGAATTACCAGATGGTCAAGTCATCACCATCGGTAACGAACGTTTCCGTTGCCCAGAAGCCTTATTCCAACCATCATTCTTAGGTATGGAATCAGCTGGTATCCACGAAACCACTTACAACTCAATCATGAAATGTGATGTTGATATTCGTAAAGATTTATACGGTAATGTCGTCTTATCAGGTGGTACAACTATGTTCCCAGGTATTGCTGATCGTATGAACAAAGAATTAACTGCTTTAGCCCCATCAACCATGAAAATTAAAATCATTGCTCCACCAGAACGTAAATACTCTGTCTGGATTGGTGGTTCAATTTTAGCCTCACTTTCAACTTTCCAACAAATGTGGATTTCAAAAGAAGAATATGACGAATCAGGTCCATCAATTGTCCACAGAAAATGTTTCTAAATTATTTATTTCATGTATTATATAACAACAACCAAAACAATTTTTTTAATAAAACAAAACATATATTTATAAATATTTTTTAACTGTCGATTTTATCCTTTTAAAAAATATAAAATACAAACTAAAAAAAAATATTTTTTTGTCTCCATATCTCTATTCTATTAAATTTTTGTTTGGATAAAAAAAAGTTTATTTTTAAAAGGATTTATTTTAATTGTTAGATATGGATTCCCAAAGGTGTGGTGCTGATATTATATTTTTTATTTTATAAAGTTACATTAGGAGTAATAGAAAATCATAGTTTTGATATCTATTTCCACAGCAATCGAAGAATCTCTGTATATTTTAATAGTTCTGGTAAGTTTGTATTTCCACCGAAACGAAGAAAGAATGGTTGCCAGTAGATGGAGTTTATTGGTCTACCTATCTTTTATAAATTAATTGGGTTTGTTGGTTATTTTTATATGGAAATATTGGTAGTTTTGAAATTAATTCATTTACTTTTGGAGTGTTTGAATGTAAATTATAAAAGCTTTCTATTAATTTCTATATCGTTTCTTGATGGTCACTTGCTGTTTTCAATTGAAGAAAATGAAAAATCATATGTCCCAATGAAAGTACAAAAGTTTTGATAATGTTAGAGATAGATTGCAAAGGTATAGGATATGGGAATAAATCTTATTTAAACAACTCTTTATTTACTTTATCAATTAATCAATAAGGAAAAATCTTTTCAATCAAGAATTTATAACTCAACAATTTAATAATTAAAATAATAAAATAAATAAAATAAGTGTAATTAATATTTATTTCAATCTATAAAGGAATATTTAGAGATCATCTTAAATTATATAAAGAAGAAGAAATTAAAACCCTTTTTTAAACTTTTAATTAATATTAATTTATATTTTTTTATTCTTTTTATTATTTTCAGCAAAATTTTTAATAATAATATGCAGTGATTGGGATATACTATTGATTTGTAATTGTTGTATTGTAATTATATTTATACCTATTTGTTTATCTATCCAGTTCTTTAATTGAACAATAACTAAACTATCGAGACCATACTGAGTTAATTGGAGTTCCAAGTTGATTTTTGACTCATTAATTGAAAGTAGTTCTGATATTTTATTTATAACTTTTTTTTTTAAAACTTCATTGTTACTATCATCATCTAATGATATATGTGATTTTTTAACCATATTGGTTAGATAGTCAAGTTTAGAATAATTATGGTTTGGTTTTGAAGATACCAAAATTTCAAAATTAAAATTACACAAACAATAGTTTGAATGATTGTTTTTATCTTGAATAAAGAGATCTAGTGAGCTTAAAATTAGTTGTGTTGAAATAAAATTATACATTGATGTTTCCATCATTACTTCCATTGCTTCATTTCTTGAAACAATTCCAGTTGATGATACTGCACCTAAGTTTACAGAGAGTGATGGTAGTCCAATTGATTTTCTATATTTTGATAGCGAGTCAATTGTATTGCAATCACTAGCATAACAACATTGTCTATATGAACCAGTAACTGTAACAGCAGATGATGCCATTATAAATTGTTTTAATTTCCATGCACGTTGAATTGATTCATTGTGTAAATTGAATGCACCAATTGTTTTTGGACCATGTGTCATATTTAATCCATTCATATTGACATCTTGAACATCACTAATATCAGTTACAAATGCAAAGTGTATTACTGTATCGATATTTTTAATGTTTGAATTTGATTCTAGATTGTTTAATATATTGTGTACTTTATTACTATCTTCGATATCGGCTTGAATAAAGTGGAAATTAATTGTATTATCCTTCTGATGTTTAGTTTGATTGATTAATAGTTCTAATTCCCATTTCAATGGTGATTTTGTTAAAATTATAATATTATCGATTGATTTGTTTGAATATTTAACAAGCCATTTCATTATATCTAATATAATACCTGTTTGACCTGTTACTAATATGTTTTTACCGATATCTAATCTTGATATATCATAAGTGTTCTTCATAATAATTGAATCACTTTGTTTTTGTTCATTATATACTCTTGATAACATATCTATATCATGATTTACAACGATTTTACCAATATGTTGTCTTTCATTAATATATTCGATTGCATCTTTAAATTGATCATTTGAATATTCAATGATTGGAATTGGCTCTAATTTATTTGAATTAAACAATTTGACTATTTTTTTTAATAAACTTTTAAGAAATGGTCCTGAAAACTCAACAAGTTCTACATTATTATATCCATAGTTGTATTTAAAGTGATTGTTTGTCATATAATCATTTGGTGTTAAATGTGTAATTGAAAGATCTACAATTTTACCATGGCTATTTAAGCATTGGAAATTTGAATCCATATATTCTGATGAAAGTGTGTTTAATATTAAATCTACACCTTGATGATATTTGTCACATTGTAATTGTTTTAATTTGTTTTTAATTTGACGAACATAGTTTTTATTTCTTGATGAAATAGATACCAGTAATAAATGAGCCATATTTATTGATCAAGTATTCTTCTTTATCTTTTGAACCGACTGTTAAAAATATATAACCTTTGTGTTGTTTACACTTTAATAGCTCTAATGATGATAGACCGACACCACCTGCTGCTGAGTGAATTAAAATTGTTTGATCTTCTTGTAAATTACCAATAGAGTATATACTGTGTAATGCGGTAACATAAACTGTTGGAATAGATGCTGCTTGTAAATGTGAGATATTTGATGGTTTGAAAGAAACAAATCTATGGTCGATTATAATATGTGATCCACTAGTTTTTGAAAAAACCCCAAATACCTCATCTCCAATTTTTAATTTTTTAACATTGTTGCCACAACGTGTTATAATACCACTAAAGTCATTCCCAATATTTGGCATTTGATTTAATCCGTTTTCAATTTCTTCTTCTTTACCATAATGGATATCAACACTATTTGATACTTGACCAACATAGATTAGATAGTCTTTAAAGTTGATACCGGTACCTTTTATTTGAATTTCAACTTCATTTGGCTTTAATTCTTGTTTTTTAGTTTTTAATACATATTCTAAATTTGGATTAAGTTGAATCATTAAATTATCTTTATTTGTTTCGAATGAGTTTGATGTAAATGATTGTTTTATTTTTGTTTGTTTTTTGTATCTTTCATAATATACTGTATTGTTTTTAATTGTGAATTCTCTTTGAATATTAGATATTGGATTTATTAATATATCGATAAGTGATAGTATATTTTCATTTTGAATTGAAATATTATCGAAATCTAATGAATATAGATCTAATTGTGGGAATTCTGCGAAATATTTTGCTGCTCCATTGATTGATGATGATAAATAGTTGTTTGATGTTGAATTTAATAATATTAAAACATGTTTAAAAAATATTTCAATTTCAAGTTGAAGAAACATTTGATTAATTTGAATGTATTCAAATGTTATTTCTTTAAAATTATTGATATCTAATGGATCAATTGCTTTCATAAAGATAATTAATGTTTTTCTTTGTCTTATTGAATCGATTGAATTAATAATCCAGTTTTTAAGTTCATTTAAGTTATCGATTTGTTTTATTTTTAAACTTAATAGTTGATTTGATATGAATGATTCAGTGATTTGTGTACCTTCTTTACTATTGCCAAATAATATAATATTGTCATGTGTTGTTAATTGTTTCAATGAATATATATTTGATAATACCATTTCATTTATATTTGATTTTCTTGTTTGAATTAAAAATAATTCATTATCATTTCCCGATATTGCTGTATCTTTATAATTGCATTCTTTTAGTAATTTGTACCAATTTTCTTGTTTCATAGAGCTTCTATCTTTTCTGATGTCTATATCTTCTGGGGATGGCCACCATTGTGGGAATACACCGAATATTGAATCAGTATACAATGATTTATATGGTGGTTCAATAAAAATAATTTGACCATTTGGTGTTAAAATATTATGAATTTCATTTAAACTGAATCTAAGTTGTTTTACAACATGTAATACATTAGACATCACAACCATATCGTAATAAGATGCTTTTAAATCTTGATCTTTAAATGACTTATCTAAATCTAAAGTACGATAGATTATATTTACACCTTTGATTTTTGAAAGTTTTTCTTTAATGTTTGAAAAAAATGATGCTGAAATATCGCTCCATGTGTATTCTATATCGATATTTGATGTTGTATGATCATTTAAAAGCTTTTGGAGTTTATTTAACATTTGAATTGATAACGTTCCTAAACCACCTCCAAATTCTAATATTCTGAATACTATTGGTTCATTAATAATTGCTTTAATTGATTCTGAAACAATATCACTTAGTAAATTGTTTATTGTTTTAATAATATTTGATTTTTGATAAAAGTGATCTAATAATCCATGTTCATATAATGATTGAGGAGAGTCTATGTTTGGATCATCATCTTCTAATGGGAATATTTGTTTTGCAAAAACTGCTGTTGTTTTTTCTACAATTTTTAAAATTATATCATTATTAAGGTCAGGGAATTCATTTAATTGTTTATTGATACCTAAACTATTATATTTTTTTAAAATATCGAAAATAAAGAAAAATAAATTTTCATTTATTTCATCGTTATGGTACATTTGTTTAAATTGATTATAATCCATTGTTGATAATGTTTCTCTGTTGATATTTGGACGTCTTTGATTAATTTTATAATAAAATAATGATAATAAATGTTCTTTTGTTTCTTTATGAAGATATATTTCATCTATCCCCAATTCTTCTAATTGACACAAGTGTTTGAATGATTGTGGTTTATTGATGATAGAGTCTTTTGATTGTTGAATTGGTAGATATATTTCATTGGATGGTGGTGGGATAATTATGGTATTGTCAATGATTGGTGTAAGTGATGTACAAATAACATTTGTTATTTCAATTAATAATGTGCCATCGTTTAACATTATTTGAATGGATCCAGAGTATGAGTATAAATTGATTCTTGATTTCATTTCAGAATATACATATATTTCAGAATGTTGTTGATTGTTTGGTGATGGTATATTTGAAGAGTAATATTTAAATCCTTCGATTTTATCTAATACAATTTGGCATTGATGTTTGATAAAACTAAGTATTCCATGTAAACATGTATCAAGTATTGCAGTATTAAAGAATGATTTCATTGTATCGTTGTTGAGTAAATGATTGAATTCATTTTGATTTTGAATTTCATTTAATGATACAATCGATAGAGAACAATTATCACCAATATAGCATTCTTTGACACCTTGGAATAAGCCTTTGTATGTTAACCCGGTTTTGATTTTAATTGATTCATAAAGATCTGATTTTGATAGTTTAGTAAAGTTGCAACTATTTCTTATTTCATCAATATTGATCCGGTTTATTTCGTTACCATGTTTGAATAAACTAAAGTTACCAGTGGAACACAATACCCAATGATTTGAAGTTGTATCTTTAAAGTGTGATTTAACACTGAATTCATTTTTTGAAAGTGTAAAAATGGTTGTTTGTAGACACTGATTAACATCATCTTGTAAAATTATTGGTGTTTTAAATTCAATTGAATTGATTGTAATATCTTGATTTGGATAGATGTTGAACAAATTAATGATATATCCACACCCTGGGAAGAAGTTCTTGCCTTTTACTATATGTCCTTTTAGCCATTGGAATGGTTCTTTTTTAGTATTAATAATTGTTTGATACAATATAATTGGTGATTCTCTTTTGTTACCAAGATGTTGATTTGGAGGTCCTTCTTTTTTTATCTTTTCACATTTTGGATTTTGTTTGAAATAATATTTATCGTCCCATTGATATAATGGTAAACAATTGGCTGAAAGTATGTTGTCTTGATCTAGTTGTGATTTAAAATTAATATTAAATGAGTGGTTTACATAAAGTGTTGAAGTTGTTTTTAAAAATTCATCATAGTCATTTTTCTTTTTGTGTAGTGGTGAGTGAATAGTTATTTTATCTCCATTATTAAAATATAATGATTGTGTTGATTTCATTTGATTTAAATAGAATGATAGTGTCGGATGTGGTGCAACTTCGATAAATGTTACTTCGTTGCCATAGTTGTTTTCTTCAATATATTTATAAATGTTTGAAATAGTTTGAGTGAATCTTACTGGTTGTAAAATATTTTCAAATACATATTCTGAATTGAATGGAGTTGTTTCGTGATTAAATAAGTTGGTAGTAACTGTTGAAAAAACTGGTGTTGTTGATTGTTTTGATGTAATGTTCATTGAACATATTTCATCTTTAATAACTAATTGGCCTGATGTATGGAATGATGATAGTGACCCAAGCATAGAACAAAATATATCTTTTGATTTTAAATCAGCTGCAATTTCATTTAGTAAATCTTCTTTACCTGCGATTACAATTGATGATGGTGAATTGTAGCAAGCAATTTCAATTGATGGGTATTTTAATGAATAATTTGATATATATTCTTCAGCACTTATATTTACAGATAGCATTCTACCAATACCAGTTGTTTTATTTTGAGCAATAGATCTGTGGTAAACTAAATAACATAATGTTTCAAAGTCAATCATGCCAGAGCAATATGGAGATGATACTTCACCAAGAGAATGACCAACGATTAAATCTGCTTTGATACCCCAGTGTTTATATAGTTCAAATAAAGATACTTGAATCATTACATTTGCAGGTTGTGCCAGAATTGGCTCATGTATTGATATCATATCATTATCATCGATTGATCTTAGCTTATCTAATACAGAGTACCCATAGTATTTGAATAGTTCATTATCGAATTTATCTACCCATTGTTTGAATATTGTTTCATTTTCATATAGTTCTAATGCCATTCGATTATATTGCGATCCTTGGCCACATAATACAAAAACTGTAAACGGAATTTTGTTTTTAACTGAAATGTTGGAAATTTTATTTGAATTTGATAATATTTCATTTTTTTTGTCAATGAAATCACTCCAGTTGTTTGCAATAATAACTGATCTTTGAACAAGTGATGTTGATTTAAATTTAATTTGATTGTTTGCAAATTTATTGAAATCTAATGTGTCTGATTGATCCATAATAATTTGTTTGTATTTGTCAAGTGATGTTGATGAGTTTGATGAGAATGGTATTAAATACTTTTTATTTGTTATTTTTAAGTTTTGATTTTTTTTTGTGCAATATTCTGATAAAATAACACAGCAATTTGATCCTAGATTTAATAATTAGTATTTTATTTAAAGTTAAATTAAAAATATTTTAATTAAATTTAATTAAATATTATACATACCAGTAACTCCAAAGTTATTAATGGCCATAGTAGTATTTTTGCTATTGTTGCTAAACGGTGTTGGTTCAGTTACAACTTTTAGACGCCACTCATCGAATTTGATAACTGGGTTTGGTGATTTAAAATTGATATTTTGAACAAATGAATGGTTTTTAAACATTACACAACATTTGATGATTGAAATTACCCCTGATGATGCCTCACAATGATCGATATTTGATTTAATGGAGCCGACTAAAACTTGTTTGTTTGTATCTTTGAACACTCTTGAAATACCTTCTAGTTCTATTGGATCTCCAGTTGGTGTACCAGTACCGTGACATTCGACATAATCAATAAAAAATTATTTTAAAAGTCTGATATACATACCAAGATTTAAACTAACACCACCTACAATAGATACATCAGATTGGCCGTATTTGATAGATTTGTAACCAAGATGTATTGCATTTAGTGATGAACTACATGCAGTATCAATTGTCATAGATTCGCCACGAAAATCAAAGCAGTATGATACTCTATTTGCTATTGAATGAAGTGAATAACCAAAAAGGTTTTTTTGGGTTTCAAAATGTGATCTATTTATAGAATCGTATTCTGTAGTTGATGCACCAAAATATATACTTGTATTTGAACCTCGTAATGTTAATGGATCAATACCGCTTTCCTCCAATGCTTCCCATGTACACTTTAGCAGTAATCTTTGTTGTGGATCAATTGTATTGACATGTTCATCACTTGGATTGATGCCAAAGAAAATTGGATCAAATGACTTCCATTCATCAAGTGGTATAAGACCAGAATATTTGGAAGAAATATCACCAGTGACATTATAGTTATTAGACCACCTTTCAGATGTTTCTACAATACCATCGAAACCATTTACCAAGCTATCCCAAAATTGATTTGTATTTGAGATCGATTTTGTTAAACTACCACTTGGTGCTCTAAAACCAATACCTATAATTGCAACATCATTATTTTGCACAACATGTTTTGGTGACATTTTTAATTAATAAAGAATTTTGTTTGATGCTTTAATGAAAAAAAATTAATTATTAAAACTTTTTTAAATATAAAATAAAAAGAAATTGTTATTAAAAAATGAAAATTGAATTAGATAAAATATTCAAAAATATTTTTTAATCTAATAATATTACAATACATTTTAAACCGTTTCTTTTTTAATTATAGATTATAGATTATAGATAAAACTTTTTTAAATTATTTTAATTGTTGAAAAAAATTGAAATATAAAAAATATTGTTTTCCCCCTGCCACCTCTCAATTATTTTAATTTATTTTTTACCTAATTAAAAACTATTGTTTTCCTTACTTTTGTGCGATTATTGTTAGATTCATTAACATATATTATCTCTTTTTTTTAAAAAAAATTATTATAATTTTTATCCTTTTTTTTTTAAAAATTATTATTCATTTTTATCCATTTTATAAAATTTGCTGATAAATCCAAAATAACAACAGAAACACGCACTTGTCACAATTTTTTTCAAACAACAAAACCAAAGGGGGTGTTACGGTGTGCACTTGGACAAAATTAAGAAAAAAAAATTTATATATCACTTTTTTTAAACAAAAAAAAAAAAAAAAAAATATTTCATTTTTTTAATTTTTTTAAATTTTTTTTTAATTTTTTAAATTTACACATAAAAAAATACATATATTAAATATTTGATGATAATGAAGATTTAATGAAGATGAAGATACAATATTTGGGAAATATCTAAAAATCTAAATGAAACATCACCTAAAAATTATTATTAATAATTATTAAAATTAAATAATATTTTTTTTAATAGCATTTATTATACAAATGTTTTTATTATTATTTTAAGAAAAAATGATTATAATTAATATTATTATTATTATTAAAAAAAAAAAAAACTTTGCTTCTTTTTTTAAAAAATAAAAAAAGAAAAACGAAAGATTAAAAAGCATTGTAAAACCTAGTTATTTTTTGGGTCTTTTTATAGAACTAATTAAAAAAAGTGAAGAACAATATGTTTTTTTTAAAAAAAAAAATAAGAGTAAAAAAAATAATTCTACCTTTTTCTTTTGATTTGGATTTGTTGAGGTTTAGTTAAACTAAAATATAACATATATTTTAAAAATAAATATAATAATGAAAATATAAATAAAAAAATTTTATCTTCAATAATTTTAATTTCAATTATTTTTTTAAAATATAAATTTTAATATAATTTATTTTTTAAACTATATTTTTTTTAAATGGTTTGTTTTAATATTTTGTGAATTAATCTAAGTTCTTATTTATTTGTTGTATTTTTATTGAGATTGATTCATAAAGATTATCAAATATATCCTGATGAATATTTTTTAAAATTCAACAAATCAATAAAAAATTATCATTAAATGATTTTATAAAAAAAATTAAACTTATATTCCACAAAAATTTAAAAATCTTCATAATGACTCTTTAGCATAGTGGTTATTGTACTCGTCTCCAATGTGAGAAACAGCAGAAAGCGGGGGGTCGGGCGTTCAACTCGCCCAAGGGTCAATTTTTTTTAATCTAAAAACCTTCCTGGTGATTTTAATGGAAATATATCTTCCGGGGAAGCAATGATAGCCAAGTGGTCGAACCGCTCCGGGTTCGCCAGTCTCAGCAGGTTATCTGAATCACACATGAATTGACGTTACCGTGCCCAACTTGTATGCAGTATGGTTAAACTCATATAAGTATTAAACACATATCAAACAAAAACAAACACAAGAAACCAACTGATGACTTATACATCATTAAGAATCATCCTCACTTAAAAAAAAAAAAAAAAAAAAAAAAAAATATATTTTTGTATGATCTATATTATCAACACAAATCTCCACCTTGTGTAATAAAATTTTATTTTGAGTTAAATTGAATTCATTTGATTATAAAAGAATTAAAAAAAATTAAAATAAGACAAATTATTAAAAAAAAAAAAAAAAAATTTGGCTTAAATTTTTATTTATTTTCACATTTTTCAGATGATTGACTATATTTGGCTATATTTTATTTTCAATGCATTTATCATATAAATTTATTTCTTATTATCTCCATCGATTTCAATATGAATCAATATTTGATGAATAGATTTCATGATAATTATATTCTTTCTGTTCTAATTTACATTGGTAATGTTTATTAAAAAAAAAAATATTTAATTATTATCATAAAATTTGCATAAAAAAATTATTAAAAAATTATTGTTTGATTATTATTTTTTTTATATTTACCTTTATAAATTTTTTAGATCAGTATATTACAGTTAATTCAATTAAACATCAATATAAAGAAAGTTATAAATATTTTTAAAAATTTTTTGTTTTTTTGTTAATTCAAAAGTTTTTTTTTTATTCAAACCTGTTGTAGTTTTTAAAAAAAAAAAAGAATTTATTCAAAATAAAAGTAAAAACCTAAGATAAATAAAAAAATAAAAATAAAAATAAAAATAAAAATAAAAATAAAAATAAAAAAAAAAAAAAGGAAAAAATATAGAAAAAAAAACAATATAAAAAATTATATTTAAAATAAAAAAAACTTTTGTGGAGGCTTAGGATATGTTTCTTCATCGATATCAAACTAAAGGTTTAATTAGAGGTAATGGGATCGTAACCCGTAATTACTGCAAATAAGCACTAATTTAGCTCAATTGGTAGAGCGCTAAAATATAATATTAATCGAAACATTCGCAATCCTCTTTTTTTTTTTTTCAAATATAATGATTTTTTATAATTCCTTAATTTATAATTTTTTTTTATGGTTAATTAAAAAAATTAAGGAAATCTTTATGTTATTTGAAATTAAAAAAACAGACAAGTGTTAACATCATATAAAATCTTACTTTTTATAAATTAAGTTTTATCAAATAATTAATGTTATTTATATTATTCACTTTTAAAAAAAAATATATATATTTTTTTATTATAATATTGGTTGTGATGTATGTGTGAATTTTTTGACCCCTTTTTTAACTTTTTTTTTTTTTTTATTTTTATTTTTTTTTTTTTTTATTTTAATTTTTAATTTTTTTATTATTTTTGTTAAATATTTTTTTAAATTTTATTATAATATTTTTTTATAATTTTCTTATTTTTTTAATAAATTCAATATAATTTTCTTTGACTAAATAAAATAAAACATAAACTTTTGTGGAGGCTAAGGGAATGTTTCTCCATCTACTCTGAAATTCATCAACTTTATAAAATCACTTCCTATCTTTACTACAACATCACTAGATTTCACAACCTACCGGATCGATTAAGCTAGCCACACCAGAATACACAAAAGGTTTAAAACAATAAACAACCACAAACAATCATCAGAATCAATGAAGAACATAGGAAACTAAAGAGAATAGTAAGAGAATACTTCATAAACACTAATTAATTACCAAAAAATCATTACCCTTGGTATTTCATCAAATTTAGATTTCTTGTGTTATTCTTTTTTTTTTTAAAAGTGAAGTTGGGAAGGTAAAGCCTCTTAAGGAAATGATGGAGGAACTTAGATTGAAGAGCCATGAATCAACCGCAAAGAAAAAGTTAACCATGAGTACTGAAACTGTGAATGGACTCAAGATCAACAGTGCAGAGTTTATTTTCTGTGACATCAATATCACTTGGGGTGCTGATAAATTAGATCAGCTAATTAATAAAGTACTTTACAGAGAAAGTAAATGGGTTAAGATTTTAAGAGGTTTAGAAAATTATAAAGCAAGAATGGAGAGAGAAGGTACCGAACCAGTTTGGCCTGAAATATGCAGCACCATAAGAAGAAAGGATGACAAAGTGGAACTTCGAGAAGCTGTCAATAATAAACTAGAGAAGGCCAAATCTAGTGCTAATGATAAAGGTAAAAGGTACGACAACCTCATTAAAGTACTCAGGGATAGTATGGTTCTATATAAGGAATATACTATCCATCAAAAAGCTCAAGTTTTAATGTCGAAGCAGGCGAGCAAGAGTCTGAAAGTCTTGTTATGTACAAATAGGTAATCAGTGGGTACATGCATTAATCGATACTGGTTGTAATATTAGTTTAATTAATCCGAATTATAAAAAAAAAAAAGGTTCAAGGGTATTAAACTAATTAAAACTTCTGCAAGAATTAAAGTACCGGTTGAGAAAGATGCGAAGGACTATAAGGAGTACATGTCGAATTATAGGGCGTCAATGGCCATGTATTTTAATACCGCACAAGGTATGATTTCAACACAGATGAGGCTTCAAGTAGTTGATAGATATGGCAGAGTTGTATTCGATTTTAGAGGTATTAATAATCAAACGGTCGATTTACCTTATCCAATGCCGTTAATAGATCAATTATTAAACAAAGCAAAGAATAACAGAATTCAAGGTTGATTTACCTAATTTTATCTCAACACAATTTGTAGATAAATAACAAATCAATTACAAAGGTAATACAAAAACAATCGAGGAGTGGGCCAAGGTTTTAAGAAGAAGTGTAGAAGGTGATGAATTTAAAGAATATTTGTTAAAAGAATTATCTTTACTCAAGTTGGAGAATGAAAGATTTAGAAACCAAAATTATGGGTTTGAAAGAAGAAAGAAGCCACTATCGGAAGATGTAAAATTTGAAGGAGGCTTTTCAATGGGTTTCGAAAAAACATGGGATTTATTCGAATTCCAATTTAGATATCACTTCGGTCCCCGTTTTGACAATACAGATTTAATCTCAAGTCTTAAAGGTGATGCATTAATTTATTTACAAAGGATGGACCCAAATGGTAATAATTCTGCGGAAGAGAATTTATTACAATTAAGAAAGCAATACCAAGATCTTCCAAGGTTTTAAGAGACATTGGTGAGGTAACATATAAGAATTATCTTGATAAAAAGGATAAAGAACAGAGAAATGTATAAATAACTATTTACAAGTTAATGTGTTGTAGAAATAAATTTATTGTTTACTCGGATCATCTTAATTTGGCACAAAAACAATTACAAAAGGTAATACAAAAACAATCGAGGAGTGGGCCAAGGTTTTAAGAGACATTAGTGAGGTAACATATAAGAATTATCTTGTAAATAGTTGTTTATACATTTCCTTGTTCTCTATCCTTTTTCAAGTTAATGTGTTGTAGAAATAAATTTATTGTTTACCCATCTTAATTTGGAACATTATCAAACTAAACAGGAGACTCCAAAAAGATTAATTAGATGGTTAGATTTAATCAGCATGTTTAGTTACGAATTAGTTCATATCGAGGGGAAGAAAAATATAGCAGCAGATTTTCTCAGTCGTAACGCAAAGTTTTATTATGATCGGGATGATGGATTTTTAGAACAGGTTAAGGAATCTTATGATGTTTCGGACGAATATAGCAAGAAATGGTTGGATACAGCAAAATTAAGGAAATATTATAATAGATCAATCACATCAAGAAACTTCGGTAATTTCTAACCTGTGGTTGTGAAGATCACATCAATCACATCAAGAAACTTCACAACCACAAGTTAGAAATTAATCAAAATATCCTATATTATTCATAATAATAATCAAATACACTAAATAATATTAATAACTATGATTCAGTAGAATTGACCTTGGTCTTATAAATTTCGGTATTAATAGTTAATCAATAATTTATAGATAGAAATGGTATATAAAATAATATTATTTTTTACAAATTTATTTTAAACAAATATTAATATTTTATTAATATATAATTAGGTTAATTAAATTAAACATAATAATAGTGAACAAATTTAAGAACTTCCTCGATATTAGCCATCTATATTTAAAACATAAGCAGCATTGTTAAGAATGGTAAATAAAAAGCATAAAGCAATTCATGAATGTCATATGTAAATTCAATTTGTGGTTCAAGTATTTAGTCAAGTGGTTTTTTAAATAATAAATAAATTAAATTAGTTCCGATGGAATACATATTAAAAAGTATAAAGCATATTCAATTTGTGGTTCAAATATTTGTTCAAGTTGTGGTTCAAGTATTTGATTAAGTGGTGTTTTAAGTTGTGAATGAATGCGGTTAGATCTAATGATGGTACATATATATAAAAAGCATAAAGCAAAATCAAGTTGTGGTTCAAGTATTTGGTCAAGCAGTGTTTTAAAAAGTGAATAAATGGGGTTAGTTCAAGTGTATATTGCAACAAGAATTATGATTTTAGAAATCATTAAATATCACCTATTTAGTATTTTTAAATTAATAAATAAAATAAAATTTTTATATTTATTCTGGCAATTGTTCATATGGATTTTTTTTTTTAATTTTTTTAATTCATTTTTTTATTTTTTTTATTTTTTTTATTTTTTTATTCAAAAACAAATACACAATTAATTAATAATTTGTTACTTTTATAATAGTAATGCCTGTTTAAATATTGGTAATTTTTATAATGGCAATACTTATAAAACACGCCTCAATAATACACATAATAATATAAATAGTAATAATAATATATACCCAATAGTAAATATAACCTCATCAATAGTAGTAGTTGTATAAATAATGATCATTTATATAGTACCGAAGATAATAGTGTGCCCTCCTCTACAAACAATTCCAATATTTGTAGAATAGGGTTTATGTTAAAAAAGATTGGATGAAAACAAAGTTAAAAATTCGAATGATCAAAAATGAAATTCTATAATTAACAAATAATAATGACAATAATAACGACAATAGTAACGATAATGACAATCTACTTAATTTAACAACTCTGAAAATCTACCAAATATTAACTCAAACTCCATTAAAACCAATATTAAAAGATATTCAACACCAAATTCTCGATACAACGAATGGGCATTGGTTAATCAGACTTGGTTTAGCGAATGGCAAAATATTCCTTTTCCAATCGGTAACTATTGTAATGTAGATGGAGCTACTTTAGTTATAGATAAATAATAAATATAAATAATTCTAATAATCAAATAAATATACAATTCTTTGTTTGTGAAAACTAAAACCGAAAACTGAAAACTAAAAAATAAAATTTTATTTTTTAAATTTTTCAATTTTTTTATTTTTATTTTATTTTTAATTTTTAATTTTAAATAATAAATTATTTAAAATAAAGGAAAATATAAATATATTATTTAGTTGAGATATAATTATAACTGTAATATTCATTTAATTCTAAAATGCATATGACTGGGTTTCGAACCCGGAGCGGTAACTTGTAGGAAATTCGTTCGACCACTTGGCTATCATTGCTCCCCCATACATTACACTATCCATTACAAAACTATCAATCAAAAAAAATGTAAAATTATAAAAAAAAAAACTTCACAATTTTACCAAAAAATCACCAGGAAGGTTTTTAGATTAAAAAATTGACCCTTGGGCGAGTTGAACGCCCGACCCCCCGCTTTCTGCTGTTTCTCACATTGGAGACGAGTACAATAACCACTATGCTAAAGAGTCATTATGATATATTTGATATTTTTATGATACATCAGCCAATTTTATTTATGAAATTGAAATCAAAATTAAAAGAAATTTCAGCACTCAGATCCTGATATTTGGCACCAATTAGTAATAAACATAGTAACCAAGCTATAAAATCAGCAAGACATCGAACCCAGACAACTTTAGAGTGAAATAATACCACTACAAAAATAAATCATGAAATTATTTACAAATAAACAAATCAATCTAAATATATTTTAATATAAACACATAATAAATATGGCAGATCTCAATTTTGTTAAATTAAAAAATAAAATTATTTTTTATTTAAAACTTTTAAAATAAATAATAGATTTGAGTTTTCTAAATCCAAAGATGATAAAAATTTATGATTTGAACCATAGCATGTCAGGCAAACCAAGCTTGGTAAAGCAAAAAAGAATTCTTTTGGTAAAGTTGGTATTGAATTTCTGCAATCCAATCTTTGCAATGTTTTTGGTAAAATATTAGAGGTTGAGAAATCTTGATTTAAATTATTTGAAAGAGATAACCTTGTTAACGATTTTGGTAGGGATGGTATCGGACCTTTTAACCTACCATTAAAAATTAAAGATTTTAAATTGGTTGGGTAATACGAGCTGTCTATTGGTAATGGCTCATTATACGAATTATTGAAAATTAAAGTTTCTATATGTTGCGATTTTGAAAAAAATAAACCATCGATCCTATGACTAAAAGCACCATTAAATTTGACTGTTTTAGCTGATTCTGGGAGTTCTAAAACCTTTTTAAACGAATACGCATTGCTATAATAAAAATTTAAATACTCTACAGATTGTGGTAAATTTAATAAGCCATTTAAATTGATATTACAAGATAGCTTTTTCAAACAACTGTTTAGCGGCAATGAATTGTTCTGAATTTCAGTTTGAAAGGTAATTGGTAAATCTAACTCTGTTAAACTACTTGGAATAATATCAATGCCTAATATTTCGTGTGTATATTTTGAACCCAATATTAAAGTTTTTAAAGCTATTGGTAAAACTGATTTTAAATTTTGATTAAATAATTCTCCAAATTCTAAATATTCCTGAAAAAAATAAATATTAAAACATAAATTAATAATAATAATATTAACAACTAAATAATAAATATACTTACCAAACTATTTGGTAAATCATCTTTTTCAATAGGCCTATTAAATTGAAAACCAAATATTAAAGTTTTTAAATGCACTAAACTACCCAAGCTGACCCATTCACTAAACTGATTATTAAATTTTAAATATACCAAATTATTAAAACTACTACCAAATTTTATTTTTTGATTTATTAAATTAAAATTATTTATTATTTTTAATTTTTTTAAATTTATAAAATAATCATTACTATTATTATTTAAAAAATTAATATTATTTAAATTTAAATCATTGATTATTTTTAATTGTGTAACTTTATTAAATATTTTATTATTATTATTATTATAATTGTAATTACTATTGAAATAATATATTTTAAATGAAAGTAAATTATTTAAAAAACTAAAGTCATTATTATTTTGAAATTGATTGTTTCGAACAAAATTTAAATAGTTAATTTTTAATTTTTTTAAATTTAATAAATTTGCAAAGTTGATGTTATCTATTATTAAATTTTTGTTTATTTTTAGTGATTTTAAAGAAACTGGTAAATTTATTATATTATTATTGTGATTGCATATGTTTAATTTTATATTTAATGAATCTAATTTATCTGGTAAAGAATTTGGTAAAATTATTAGTGTTGAACCAGTGGCATTACCCATCAATGTTAATGATTTTAAATTATTTGATATCTTTGAATTTATTGTTCCTGGTTTAAATAATATTAAATTATTATTATTATTATTATTATTATTATTATTATTATTATTATTATTATTATTATTATATTTAAATTTAATTATTATATTATCAATCGTATGGTAGAGTGGCGCAAGGGATAGAAAATGACTTTCCAAAGCGTCACTATCTTTTATATAAACTATAACATTTTTTAAATATTCTTTGTATTTATATTTATACAAAGATAACAATGATCTAATTTTAAAATTACTGTTTAAGTGTAAATCAAATAATTTTAAATGAAAAAAAATAAAATTTTTAAAAATAAATTTATTATTTATGATTTTTTTGAATAAAATTTCATTTTTATTTATATTATTCATTAATTTTTTTTTTTTTTTTTTTTTTTATATTTAAATGATACACAAATGGTATTTTACCAGTGTAATTATGTGATCAATTTTATATATGGATGAAGAAAATTACGAAATTAAAAAAAAAAGAAAAAAAAATAAAATTTTTTTTAATTTATTTTTATTTTTATTTTTTTTTAAATTTCATTTTTTTTTTTTTTTCCCCATACTTTTTCTTTTTTTTTTTTTTTTTTTTTTTTTTTTCTATTTTATTTATATTTTTTTATAAAAAAAAAACTATAAAACCATAAAACTATATATCTATAGTTTTATTAAATTTCATTACAAAAATGAAAGTTTTATATACTTGTATTTTATTAATCATTAGTTTATTTTCAGTATCAAGTTTCAAAATTGATATTGATTCATCAAATAACTGTCAAGATGGTACAATTCAAATTGCAGAATCAATCCCACTTGGTCTTAATTTACAAACCAATCTTACAACTCATGATGGTAAATAATCATTATTAAATCATCAAATTATAATCAATATAATAGTTTATTCAAAAAATATATGACAATATATTTCGTTTTTTTTATAAAAAATTAAAAATGTCAAAAAAGATTTTTTTTATTTTCTATAAAAATTTAATTTCAAAATAAAAAAATAAAAGCTATAATTAATAATTTATAATTAATAATTTATAATTTATTTAATTTTTTTTTTTTTATAGCATGGATGCAATTAATTACAAATGCAAAGAAATCAATCGACATGGGTATTTTTTATATGACATTAACTGACGGTGGTCAATTAAACCCAGTTTACGGTGGACAATTAGGTATGGATATTTTCAAAGCTTTAGCAGAAGCAAACTCAAGAGGTGTACAAATTAGAATTGTTCAAAACCAACCATCAAAGAGTATGCCAGATAATGATACTCAAGCATTAGCTCAAATGGGTGTTCAAGTCAGATCCATCAATTGGCCAAATCTCGTTGGTGCTGGTATTCTTCACACCAAAGTTATTGTAGTCGATCAATCAAGTGCCTATTTAGGTAGTGCCAATTTAGACTGGCGTTCATTAGCCCAAGTTAAAGAATTAGGTGTTTTCTTACAAAACTGCCCATCAATGGTTTATGATACCGAAACTGCCTTTGAACAATATTGGGAAGCTGCTGCAATGTCCCAATTACCAAACAACTGGGGTTCATCATTCACTGCCCTTTTCAATCAAACCAACATGGCCAGCTTATTATTAAACAACCAACAATACCAAATGTTTTTAGCTGTCTCACCACCACAATTTGTTTCAGATGATCGTACTGGTGATATCGATGCCTTAGTCGCCGCTATGAATGCTGCCAATAGTAGCATCTGTATCTCTGTTATGGACTACACCCCAGCTTCACTCTATAACCGTCCAAATACTTTCTGGCCAGTTATGGACAATGCTATTCGTGCAGCCGCCTTCAATCGTAATGTTAAAGTTAGAATGTTAATTAGTCACTGGAATCAAACCAACAGCCGTATTCCACAATGGTTACACTCATTAGATCAAGTTTCAAACATTGATGTTAGATGGTTTGTCGTACCAGACTTTAGCGTTAACCCACAAGTCCCATACACCCGTGTTAACCATGCCAAATACATGGTCACCGAAAATCAATCATACATCGGTACTTCAAATTGGTCCGAAGATTACTATACCAATACCGGTGGTTTAAGTTATAATATTTTCAATACCCAATTCACTTCACAACTTCAATCAATTTTCGATAGAGATTGGAACTCACCATACACATTCCCAATCACACAATGGTAAAAATAGCACCCCCAATATTTAATTAAAAATCATTTTAAATATACATTTATGTATATTATTTTTCCATAAAAAAAGTTTTTTTTTTTTTTTTTAATTAAAAAAAAAAAATTATTAAAATAAATTGTGATAAAAAAGAAATATCATTATTATTTATTATTATTATTATTTTATTTAATCTTTTTTAATAATTAAATATTTTTTGTTTATAAACATATACTCTTTTAGTGTGTGGGGGATTATATAAAATTTATTCCAAATTTCTTTTTTTTTATTTTTTTTTTTAATTAATTAAAAAGTTTAAATGTTCGTGAATAGAATTATTAAACTATTATGTCACAATATTTATGTATATGGATTTTATTAAGTATAATAATAGTATTCATTCCAGGATCCACCTGTTTTTTATAATTTTTTTTATATTTTTCTTTTTAAAATTTTTTTTTTTTTTAATTTTTTTTTTTTTTTATTTTTTTTTTATTTTTACACTCAAATAAATAATTTATTTTTTTTTATTTTTATTTTATTTTTAAAATTTAGTATATATTTTTTTTTTTATTTTTACATTATATATAATAGATAAAAAAAAAAATAGTCAGTTTTTTTTTAATATAAATTTATAAATAATATTTATTAGTTTTTTTTTTAAAATTAAAGAAAAATATAAAATTTTTTTTTTAAAAAAAACGATTTCACAAAAATCAAAATCACATATCAAAATACATAATAATAATTAAACAATTAAATAAGTAATATATTATAGTTCATATTTAAATCTATAATTCGAAATAATAATTTAATATTGGTTTTAAAAACTTAAATTTTAAAGCCAACACACATACTCAAACAAATAATATTATTTTTTTTTTAAAAATAAAAAAAAAAAATTTTAAAAAATTTAAAAAAAAAAAATAAAATATTTTTTTTAATTTTTAAAATTTTTTTCCTCTTTATTTTCAAAACAATAATAATAAATAATAATAGCTATATATAAATTCAATTTTAAAGTTCAGTTGTTTTAGTTTCAGTTTTTATAAAAAATCATAAAATGAATTTAGCAAATTGTAAAGAAAAACATCCAAATTTATTGTTTGCAAATTTTAACCAAGATTATAGTTGCTTTGCATGTGGTACAGAAAAAGGGTTTCTTATATTCTCATGTGATCCATTCAAGGAAAGATTTGGAAGAGTTTTTGATGGCGGTGTAGGAATTGTCGAAATGTTATTTAGATGTAACATACTTGCTATTGTAGGTGGTGGTAAAAAACCAAGATATACACCAAACCAAGTTATGATTTGGGATGATTATCAAAATAAATGTATCGCAAAATTAGAATTTAAATCAGAGGTTAAAGCAGTCAAATTAAGAAGAGATAGGTATGTATTTAGAGTTAGATATAATCAAAAAATATCTATTTTTATAAAAAGATAAAAATAATCTTGATTTCTTTTTTTAATTTTAAATATTAATACAAATATTATTTTATTTTTGTTATTATTATTTAGAATTGTTGTTGTACTCGAAAATAAAGTTTATCTTTATAATTTTTCAGATTTACAATTAGTTCACCAATTAGAAACTACACTTAATCCTAAAGGTATTTGTGCAATTTGCCCAGGTAGTGTCAATGTATTAGCATGTCCAGGTTTAAAACCAGGATATGTACACGTCGAACTTTACGATCTTAAACAAACTCAAATTATTCCAGCTCATGAAAGTGCACTCTCTCAAATTGCTCTCAATAAAGATGGTACACTTTTAGCTACCGCTTCAGAAAAGGGTACACTTATTCGTATTTTTGATACAGCTACAGGTGAAAAAGTTAAAGAATTAAGAAGAGGAACAAATAGAGCAGAGATTTATAGTATAGCATTCAATAATGATTCATCAGCTTTATGCGTTTCTTCAGATAAAAATACTGGCCACATTTTCGATTTATCAATGGCAAAACAAGCAAATCCAAATGTAACCAAAGAGTCATCAGAAGAAGGTCAACAAAAAAATAGACAATCAACGTATGTTTTAAAATATAAAATTGTATAGTGTAGATTAAATAATATCAATTATTCTAATTTATTTTTTTATTTATAACAGTTTTTCATTTATGGGTGATATTTTACCAACAAATTACTTCAAGTCAGAATGGAGTGCTGTACAGTTTCAAATTCCAGAATCAAGATCAATTTGTGCCTTTGGTTCTACTCCAAATTCAATTAATGTAATTTGTGCTTCTGGTATTTGCTATAAATATACCTACGATTTTTCTAAAGGTGAATGTAAAAGAGAAGAAAATCCCCATCAATTCATTGACAATGAAGAGTCTTAATTATATCATTATTTAAATTTATATACAAATACATACCTTACATATCATACTTTTAATAAAATAAAATAAAACAACAAAACAAATCACGCCAAAAAAAAACAAAAAAAAACAAAAGAAAACCAATCCCACCCCCCATTCATATCCTAATTACCATTTCTAATCGCCAAAAAAAAAAAAAAAAAAAATCATTGTTGTACTTCATCCTTTTTTTTTTTTTAAATTTCCAAAATTAATAAAAATTTAGATTTAAAAAAAACAAAAAAAAAAAAATAGATTACATTTTAAACTAAATTACAGAAGGTATTTAAAATAAAATATACCATTTGTGTAAAGAAAATACATTTATTTTTATACACACGCGATTTATCTTGAAAATAAAATTATTTTTTTAGATTATAAAGTTTTTTTTTTTTTTTTAATAATTTACAAATAAAAGTTTATTTAAAATATATTGGCATATTGCTATATTTGTTTTTTTATGGTTTTACACTATTACTAATACTTTTTAATAATTGTTTTTTTTTTTTTTTTAGTTTTTGGAAGAAAAAATTATTTTTAGTTTTTTTTTTCAATAAAATACATTTTTTAATTTTTATTTTATTGGGTTTCAAGTTGTCTATTTTTGAAAAATTCTTCAATCATGCCAACAGTTACACTTCTATCTCTGTCTGGAATTGAGATCATTGTTTGTGAATCTAATTGAAAAAAAAAAAATAAAAAAAAAAAAGTTAATATTCTGATTATTTAAAATTTAAATATATTTTTATATATTTACCCTTATATTTCTTATAATCTTCAGATTTTAAGAATAATGGAATGGCATCAGTTTCCATGTGTTTTTTAATATCTTGTTGAATTCTAGCAAAGGTTTCATTTGTAATAACATTGTTATTGATTTTTTCTTCTAAATCTTTTCTATCTTGGTGATTAATATTTAATTCGTATTTGCTAGTTGACAAGAAGTATTTGGCAAAGATTTCTTTGGATCTAGCTTCCATTTCACTCTTGTCTAAATATTTATAATTTTCTGCTTCTAACCAAAATGAAAAGTTTTCATTATTGAATCTATTGTAGAGGAATTGTCTAAAAACTAAAGCTAAGTTTCTATCCTTGATAATTTGTTCTAATTGTGACATTTTAAAATTAAAATTGAATATGAAAAATATTATTTATTATATGTTTATGTTTTGTATTTTATATTTTATGTATATGTATAATAGCTTTATTTTTTAAATAAAAATAATTTAATCAAAAGTAAATTTAAATATATTTTTTTTTTTAAAATAAATAAAAATTATTATATTATGAAATAAAAAAAAAAAATTAAAAATTAAATAAAAAATAAAATAAATAAAAAATTATATATATTTTGTTTGAAAAAAAAGAGTTGTTGTTGTTGTTGTTGGTATGTGTGTATTGTGGTTAAATATATTCTTTCTGATATTATATAATAAACAAAAAAAAATTATTGGATATACTATTAGGAGGTGGTTTTTTTTTTTTTTTGATTTTTAATTAAAAATTAATATTGTTAAAAGCTGATGGTTAAAAGTGAGGGTGTGTGTGATTTAAAAATAAAAAATTTAAATATGTGGGTGGGTGTGTGGTAAGTAAGTGTTTTTGTATTTGGTGATATAGTGGTGTTTTTTTTTTTTTAATGTTAAAAATATAAAAAAATATAAATAGTGTTGTTGTTGTGATGTTGTTTTTGTTTTTTGTTTATCAATAAATATTTATATAAATATGTATTTTAAATAATATTTATTTTAAGCTGAATGAAGATTTTTTTTTTTTGTTCTCTTTTTATATTTATGCAGTTTTATAAAAATAAAAGAAAAATAAAAAAAAAAAAAGTAAAAAAAATAATTTAATTAAAAAAAAAATAAAAAAAATTATTGGGGTTTTTTTTGTCAAATCATTGATAAAAATAGGTTAATGATAATGTAAAAAGTGTAAATTACAATTTTTTTTTTTTTGAGGTCGTTCGAGGTTAAAAAAAAAAAAAATCTTGTTATAATAACCTATTTTTTTTTTTTTTTTGTTAACAAAAAAAGAAACAATAATTAATTTGTGAAAAATTTATATTTTTTTATAATTTTTTTTAAAATTTTTTTTAATTAAAATTATACAAGATTGATATTGATTATATTCAAAATATATATTAAATTAAAAAACCATATTAAAGGATGTTGATTTTTGATACTCTCTTTAATAATAAAGTGTGAGATTTAAAAGTGATAGGTTTTTTTTTTTACCTTATAATCATTGTATAAATCTCTTTTTCAATAGATTATAAATTTCTATTGAAATCAGAGTTACACATAATATTGACAATGTATATATGCGTGGGTGTGTGCGTTAGTGTTTTTTTTTTAATTGTTTTTATGAATTTTGAACCGTTTTTTATGGAGTTATGTATTGGGGAGGGGGATGAGTTTATTAGATTTTAAAGAGACTTTGATCCAAAAAAAGAAAAGTAGAAAAAAAAAATTATTTGAAAGTGGAGCTGAGATTTTCAGATTGAAAAAAAAGTTTTGTAAACCTCCAATAAAATTCTAAAAAAAACCTTTTTGGGCTGGATACTTATTATAAATTCCATTAATGGAATATTTAATAGAATTAAAAAAACTAAATTTAAAAAAAAAAACACATTTAATTTTATATCACATATTAAAAGATTTTTTGTAGAGCAAAAAATATTATGGTTTTTTTGAATTTTTATTTTTTTTAAATTATTAATAATAAAAATTAAAATAAAAGTATTTGATTCTTTATATTTGGTACATTTTTTAAATATTATTAATATGTCTTTTTATTGTGTGATTTTGTGTGTGAATGTGGTGGGCTGTTAAGGTGCCTCTTTTTTTTTTTTTTAATATTTATTTGAATGTGGGTGGGAATGCACATGTGGTGATTGGTATTTAGATGCGTTACATTTTGTGGAGTGGTTTTTAAGTTAATTATTATTATAAATTAAAATTAAAAGTGTTTTGGATTTGATATGAAATCTTAGTGAAAAAAAAAAATAATGGTTGATAATCAATATCAAAATCAAAATCAAATTACTCATTATTATAATAATCAACATTAAATCAAAAATATAAATCTTTAATTAATCTCTTTTTTTTTTTTTTATTAAGTTTCTATTAATAAGTTTTATTAGTTGTTTGTTTTTTTTTGAAAATTAGTTAGTATTTTATTTATAGATTAATTTCTTTTAAAATTTTAAAAATTTATTTTTGAACTTTAAATAACCTACTGAAAAATACAGTTTTTTAATTTTATAAAAATATAATTCATAGAAATTTTTAATTAATTATAATAAACGTATTAATTAATAATTTGTGTAATAAAAATAAATCAAAAAAGATATGACAACATAGTTTTTTTTTTTTTTTTTTGGGGAGAGATAAAGTAAGTTACTTTACGAATAATCTTTATTAACAAGGTTAATTATTTTCTTGACACTATTATGAATTTTGATACTTTTAATGCTGTCGAATAAATCATCCTCTTTCAAATCATGGGGAGTTGACTTTATAATATTTAAAGACTCTTCGAAATTTGATAATAAAATAAATTTTTTACAAAGCTTTAGGATACCTAATTGTGTTTAAAAAAAATATTAGTATCAATTAAATTATTTGAATTGATTATTATTATTATTATTTTTTTTTTTTTTTTTTTATAATATTAATACATACCAATTGAAGTTGAATATATAAATGATTCACCTTCCATTATATAACAATCCCAAATTCTAAATACTATATTTAAAGGTAATTGTTTTGTAAATAATGTCATGAACCATTCCAATAAAAAGTGTTCAGTTGATAAACCTAATTCGCAAAATTTTTCGTAAAGTTTCGGTATTTCATTTTTGAAAATAAAATCGAATATTTTAACATGTTTGACGATACCTTTGATATCCATTCTAAAGAGACTGTTAAAATAATGATTATTTAAAAAATTTGTAAAGCATACAAATGATTCGAATGGATCCATAAAGAGACATAGAATTCCAGCTAAATAAGACATGCCTTGAACATAACCAATTTGTGGCGAATATAATGAAAATAATAACAACATGTTTTTTAATTGTTCATATAATGCGCCATACTTGGCAAAGAGTTTTAGTTGCGGAAAAGTTCTAGGTAGATCCACTTCGACCATATTGTTTGTTTTGATGAACGTTTGATATTCTTTGGGTAGATTTGGTGGTAGATTCGCTTCGAATCCTTCACCATATTCCTTTTTATCTTTATTGAGACGTTCTTGTAAATCAGATAGCTGTGCCAATAGACCATGATAGAGTGCACCATTAATTTCTAATTTGTTTCCAATGGCTTTTTTCCATAGTATTCCACGAATGGCAGGTGGGAATCCTTTACGCCATAATTGTTTCCATTCTTTTCTTTTAGAGTATACATCAAATTTTGGTAGAAATTTGGTTAATAGGAGTTGAATTATATGTTCTTGCTCTTCAGATGAATCTACATCGATACCGTTTGTGAACGCACTGGTGGTTTTTGAGTGAGGCGATTTTGATTTAAATAGGAAGTCTAGGAATGGTTTGCTTTTTTGCTCTTGTGGTAGCTCACTTTGTTGTTGTTTGTTTTGATAGGAAAAATCATCTTCATCATCGTCATGATCGTTTTTATTTCCAATATAATCTTGCTGAATAAAAAAGAATGATTTTTCAAATTCGTCGTTGGTTGTTATAATTGAATCATCTTCTTGAGTTTTGTTTTCATTTAAAAATCCAATAATTGCTTCGAATGACAGTTGAAGGCCATCAAAGATATCATCTTTATTATTACTATATCCAGAGACTGTCTGATTGATCATACGTTCTATTTCTTCTAAATTTGATTCAAACTCCTCTAGCATTTCTAGATCTGTTGTTGATGATTTTTTGTTGTTGCAATGGGTTTGCTTTTTCTTATTTTGTTTTTCTGATGATTCTTTTTGTAGTTCTCTATTTGATACAATCGCTAGTGAATGCCATCTACCACATTGGACTGACTCTACATAGTAAGGTAATAGTTTTTCAATTAAAACAGGCGATTTTAGAAAGCTATCATTGGAGATGGATGGATGGTCTTGTGGAATACCCAGTTGACCAAACTCACCTTGACCTAAAGAAAAGCATTCACCATTCTCATTTAAAATTAATGTATGAGAATAGCCACTTGACACTTGTTTAATTTTATACTTTGGATTACCATTAATTTCATCATAGTCACTGTTGTTTGTTGATTCCAGAGGCTCTTGAAAAATAAATTTTGTTGGTAATAATTGATCATCCAGTTTACCCAGAGTTATTCCCCAACCAAAAGAATAAAGTTCTCGTTTTTCTAAGGTTATAAAAAATGAATTAAAATAACCACAAGAGATTTGAACAATTTTTTCATCAAAACCAATTACTCTTTTGATTTCATATGGGCTCCAAATATCATGTCTATGTCCTGTTCCTAGTTGACCATCTGAACCTTTGCCCCAAGTCATAATACCACTGTCTTTAGTTAATACCATACAATGAGAATAGCCACAAGATATACTAATAATTGGTGTTGCTTCAAGAGATTTGATTCTCTTCGGATAGTTTATAAATTTTGCATTGGAACTAACAAATGTAAAATCATCACCATGTCCTAGCTTTCCGTGCTCTGTGTTTCCCCATGAATATACCTGACCTTGCTTATTTAGACATAAAACATGATTAGAGCCACATGAAATTTGTGATACACAAATATTTTGAAATGAATGAATTTTAAGTGGTAATGTTCCTTTATGCTTGAAATCATTTCCGAGATGGCTATACAATGTGTTCATATCCAATGATGACGATAACGACGATGACGTTGATGATGATAAAGACGGTGAGGATGTTGGTGATGATGATGACCCATTATCCTTGATAATATCTTTAAAAAAACTACCAACACTACTAAAAGGATTCATTGATCCGCCATTTTTACTGCTGCTAACTGCACTTCTTTTAGCTGCTTCTTCATTCTGTTGTTTTGATATGGTTACATAAGATCTAATGGATGATGTTGATGAAGTTAATGTTTCATACATTACATCAGTTGGTGATTCTGTATTAAAAAATGGACAATTATCACTATAGCTATCCATTACTGTTAAAATGTCTTTTGGCTGTAAAAATGATTTATTTGATTCTGAAGATGAGTTTAATGAAGTTGATATTGGATCCGCACCTAATGCCAGCTGACCCTCTATATTTGATCCCCATGCGTAAATTGATCCTTGATCAGTCAATATAAATGAAAAATCTAAACCTGTTGAAACCTGTATCGGTGAATCTCCATTTAATGCTTTTATTAATGAAAACTTCTTTATATTTTTCGGTTTTTCATATAAACTTTTAGAATCACCATGCCCTAATTGACCATTTAAATTTGTACTCCCCCAGCTATATAAATCACCACCATCTTTTTTTTAAATTTAAATAATAAAATAAAAAAAATTTAAAAAAAAAAAAAAAAAAAAGAAAAAGAAAAAGAAAAAGAAAAAGAAAAAAATTATAAAAAAAAAAAAAATAAAAAAAAAGAAATTATTAATATTTATCAAATTAAATAAAAAATAAAATGCTAGCATATTAATTACCTGATAAAGCTAAAGAGTGATTTGAACCACATGATAGTTGTACAATAAATTTGTTATTCAACTCGGGTATTATTTCGGGCTCGTATGTTTTATTACCATGGGAATCTCTTCCCCAACAATAACACTGTTTGCTGTATCTATATTCATCATCATCCATTTTATTTATTTATAATTTATTTATTATTTAATATATTACAAGATTGTTTATTATTTATTATTATTATTAATTATTTCTGTTTATAATTTTATTTTTTTTGTTTATTTTTTTATATTTTTTGTGGAGGGATGGCAAATTTCGAAAAAATAAAATTTTTTAAAAAAAAAAAAATATTATATATAGTTCATAACTTTATTATTAATATTTATTGTGCAAAAAAGAATGAAAGAATGAAAGAATAAAAATTAAAAAAAAAAAAAAAAAATGATAAGTTTGGAAAATAAAAATATAAAAATAAAAATTAAATATATAAAGGAATTAATTATAATAAATAATACTAAAATGAAAAAAATTTCGGTCTAATTTTTTTTAAATTTTTTTTTTTAAATTTTTTTATAAAAAATTTTATTTTATTTTATTTTATTTATTTTTTTTTTCTTATTTTTTATTAAATTTTTGGAGATTTTTATCCACCAGGTTGATCTCAATGGTATTTGACCTGGATACTTTATTTGCAATATTTTTTTCAACATTGTAATCAGAATGATCATAGGAAGAAAATTAAATGGAAAATTATCAATAATAATGGACGCAAATATTCAAATTGCATAATTTTAAAATACCTTTCCGAGCTATTAATCTATTACCAAAGAAAAAAATATACAATAAACAAATTTTTTTTTTTATAAAATTTCATTTCAATTAATTAATAAAAATAAAATAATTTTACAAATAATAAAAACTGAATTTAGTTTTATTAAAAAAAATAATAAATCTTTTTTTTTTCTCATTTTTTTTTAAATTAAACCCATAACCCAATTATTTAATAACAATAAACAATTTAATATCTAACCATAAAAAATTTGTATTTCAAGAATTCCTTACAGCAACACATACATAATCTAAAATCATATTTTTAAGAAACTTTGGATTCTGTTCTTTCATTTTTTTTTTTTTAAAAATATTGTGATGCCCAAACTTTTTTTTTTCTTTAAAGTGAAGATTTTTCCTCACACATACCATTTAAAATTTTTATTTAATAAAATACTTACCACACCAATCAAATCCAATCCGTACCAATCAGGTAGTCCGAAATCACCTGCTATTGAACAAAAATCTAAGAAAAAAAAACTTCTTAAACAAGATAGGTTGTTTCAACCTTACCCCGAACCCAACTTTTAAAAATAATATATAGTAAATAAACAAAATGAGGTTAAGTGATGAAGTTCGATACTCAATATTATCATATAAAAACAGAGGTCACAAGTCGAACTCAAAAATTGCAAAAAAATTGGAGTACATAAATCAACAGTAGCAAAAATAATAGAAAAGGTAGAACAAACAGGCACAATCAATGACCGTAAAAGTCCTGGGATAAAAGAAAGTTTGACGAACGTGATGAACGTGATTTATGTTTCAATTTTTAAAATAGTAAATTTACTATATAAAATAAAGTATAATTTGGTATGAACAAAATGGATTTGGAACAATATCATACAAGTCAGTAAGAATTATATTAAAGAGATATAACATAATATATAATAAGAAAGTTAGGAATCCCTCATTGATTAGACATAATAGAAGAAAAAGATTTTTTTTGAAGTTGTGCATATAAATTTTTTTGTGGAAAAATGAGAAAATTATATGTTTATGGATGAAGTAAAGTTCCAATAATATAATAATAACTATGGTAGGTCTTCTTGGGCTTATGACACTAATGTTTTACAAGAAGCACGTATTAAGACAAGTGTTAGAAAGGGTGGGGTTAATGAAATATTTTTGGGAAATTTTCTTTATAATGTTCCAATTTATTTATTCATTTATCAAATGGATTTTGAACTAAGCTATATCTCGAAATTATAATAAACGATACACAAATAAATTTAGAATAATATGCAGATAAAAATAAAGTGCCTGAGAGGGTGCCAATCATTTGTCATGACAACTGTAGTTCGCATACAGCAAAGATAGTGAAACAATATTTAGAAGAAAATAATATACAAGTTTATCCATTACCACCCTACAGTCCAGATATTAATATAATTTGAAAATCTTTGGTCAATTGTTAAAGAAAGGGTATCAAAAAAAATGTTTCGTGACTCATCACAAGACCTAGTTCAGGTATGTCAAGATGCATTTCATTCAATAGAAAAATCAATTATAAAATCATTATATGAATTACTCCCTGACCGAATGGATGTCATATTAAAAGCCCATGGAAGCTATACTAAATATTAAATAATAATAATCATTTATATTTAATTTTAAAAAAAAAACAAAAAAACAAATAAAATTTTTGAAATTGAAAAAACGGATTAAATATTTAGACCATTTTTTTTTTTTTAATTTTTAGCAGATAAACCAATATCTTGTAATATGATTTATTTTAGAGGTCATTATATAAATATTAAATATGATCTATTAATTCAATAATTATCATTTCCATTTTAAAAAAGTTGGGGGGGTCTAAATATATAATCGGGGCACTGTATTTAACACTTTGGCAAAAATTTTGTAAAGACTGTTGGTGAGTGTTATTGGTCTTCTATTTTTAATTAGAAGTGGATCTCCTTTTATAGGAAGAGTGATAGCTGGGCCTTGTTTAAAAGAATCTGAAATAGTTGAGGGATCTTTAAGAGCATCATTGAACGCTAACTTAAGTATTGGTATTAGATGTTTTTTATGTGTAATAAAAAAGGCGTTTTAATACCATCTGGTCCGGGGAATTTATGAGGATTTGATGATTTAATAGCATCGTTAATTTCTGAATCGGTGAATGGAGAGCCGAGATCGGCCCATGATTCATCTTTTTTAATTATCCAGTTTGCTAGTAATTTGTTGGGCAATCTTTTTTTTTGAGTATAAGTGTTTAAAATATTTTAAGAATTCATTTTCAATTGCTTTTTGGTTTTATATTGTTGTTCCATTATCGTCTTTAATGCTGTTATTTGGTTTTGCTTCGATCTCTTGTGGAGAATTGATGATAAGTATCTTGATGGTATTTCGCCTTGTGTTTATCTTGTTAGATCATTGTAGAATTTATTTTCAAGTTTCTTAGTTTCAATTATAGAGAAAAGAGTTGCTTCCGCTTCTTTTGTTAAATCTAGGTGGAGCATTAGTTTTTTAAGATTGTTGATTTGAACTTGGGTTCTATTCAGGTATTCCATTTGGTGTCTTTTGTAAAAGACGATGATTTCCTTCATTAGATTTTCTGGGTTTTGGAATTTGAAATTTGATAGATTGACTGGTATTGATATGGCTTTGAGGTGGGCTTTAAGTAGTGTGATAACGCTGTGGGACTTAACAACAAGGGGATTTAGTTTCCACCTTGGCTTTTTAGGAGCTGTTGAACAGTTGATTACGTTAATGGTAGTAGAGAGGATTTTATGATCGGAGTAAGATGTGTATCTAATCTCGAGGTTTTGGCTTGATGGGTTTATTAGTCTTTTGTCTATGTAGATTCTATCTAGTCTTTTATCACCTGAACCATTTCTGTGTGAGAAAGTGTTTCTGGTTAGTTTGTAATCTACATCGTGCAGATTGTTGAGATTAACTAGAGACTCTATTAATAAGCTTAGGCTTTCTTCCTTCAGATTTTTATCGGGATGGTTTAGTACCTCTTTGTAATCAGCGCAATTGAAGTCGCCAATGATGATTTGTAGTGGTATCGAATTGTTAATGTTTGTGTTATTGTATAGGCTATTATATAGATCAAGAAGTTGGTCAGCAAATTCATTCTTTGGTTCTTATCTGCTGGTGCATATACACGATTGTATTGCGAGTAGTCTTATAGTATTTGTTGGTTTTTGTTGTGACTCTTTATTGGCCTCAATTGGAGTTGACCCGACTGATATTTGGGGATTATTATTTTCAACTGGTTTGGCGAAGTTAGCAATTATCATTAGGGCCAATGGTGATTTGTTTTGGTTATGGATTGAGGAAAAGGTTGGTGTTTTTGGTGAATCGAGGATAGCTCTAACTTTTAATTGGATTGATGAGGAATTGGAGTCACCGGATGGAATATGATTTTTCTGGTGATCGATTGGATTTGCAATTGGGGCGGGTTTTTGTGTGTTTGACGTTGATGTTTGGACTGTATCATTTAGTACGGCATTAGTGACATCTTTTGGTTTATTGTTGGTGGTGGGTTCTTTTGGGTGTTTTTAGATTTCTCTCTGTGTAGTATTCTACTACTACTTCTAACAGTGACTATAACATTTCTATAAGATATTCTGGATGAACTCATGTCTTCACCAATTACCATTTTAGTTATAGGATCATAGTTGTCTGGGTACATTATAAAGAAGTTTGTGTACTGTCCAAAGTGTTTAATATGATGGAGGGTTGGTTTCATGCCGCCTTCACTTGGATTAAGTATACCGTGCTCCGTTTGTTTGATGAGGTTTTCATCGTTTGTTTTTAAGGCGATTGTCATGATGTGATGATCGTGACAAGATAATCTGAAGTTGAGTTTGTGTTGGTACTTTAGGTCAATTAGTTTTGGTATTTTATCTATTGATATATCAATTTTGATAATATCCTTGTTTTGACCTATGTTTGGAATGGTGCAACAGCCACTTTCAACGATTAGTTTAATGATTTTATCCTTAATATCTTTTGGGATATCTTTTCCTAGGTAAAGCGATGTCGATATAGGCCACCGTTTCTTTCACGCGAGGTGAGTTGATTTATTTTGTTGATTGATAGATCAACATTAGACAACAGTTAGTAAACGTGTTTCTTCGTTGCTGGGGTGTTGTCGTTGATGGGGCTGTTGAACTCATCATATATGGTTTCAGATGAGATAGATGATGAATCAGACATATCGGTAAAAGGTTGGAAATGCGGGATTGATCAGTGATTTTTTGGAAAGTATTGTAAAGTGTGGGGATAGGATGGAATAAATGTAGATTGAAGGTTAATCTAAAGGATTGTTAAAGATTGAAGATCTTTGATATTAGATTAATGATGATTTTTGGATTTTTTTTTTCTTGGGTAGGTGTTTGCAGTGTGGAAAAGATGTGTTGTTGTTTATCTTTTCAAGATCTGTCGAATGGTGTAAAAATCAACAAAAATTAAAAAACTAAAATTAAATAATCAAAATTAAATTTCTAAAATTTTTTCTAAAAATAAATTAATAAAAGTAGTGTTAACCTTTGCACCATTCTTATTGAAGGGGTAAGTCAAAAACTCGTGGTTAGCAATTAATACAAAAATTTTGTTGAATGTATTGAAGGGGTAAGTCAATTTTTGTCATTTAAATTTTTTCATTTAAAGCACTACTCATTCCACATAGGTTAATATAGGGTAGAAAATTTAGTTTATTTTTTGAAAAAAAGGGGTTTCTAAGTTCGGGGTCAATAAGTTCCATTTTTAAAGTCAATTTCTAAGTTTTAGTTTTTTTTTTATTTTTCTAAGTTTTAAAAACAAAAAAAAAAGTTTTTTATTTTAAAGGTTTAAAAATCAATAAAAAAACAGTTAAATCATAATCAATTAATATATATAGTAATGTGTGGTTGTTTCCCCCTTTTATTTTTTTTTTTTAATTTTTTTTCAATTTTTTTTTAAAATTTTTTTTTTTTTTTATTAATATAAATAAATATTGTTAAGAGGATTTTATTACAATATAACAGTTATATAATTAAGCACATTATTTAAAATTAAAAATAAATAAATTTAATATAATTTTTTTCTATAAATACTTCAAAATTATTATTTATATATCAATATCAAAATTTATTAATATATATAAAAATATAAAAAATTATATTTTAAAAAAATAAATTAATAAATAATAACATTAATAAATATAAAATTATAAAAAATAAATATATTATAATATTAATAACTAATTATCAATGGAAGGAACAAATAAAAGACCTATTACCAGAAGAAATTTGAAGATCTAGACAAAAAGCTATCAACATCCCTATAGCATTAGATATCATTTTACAAATGGTAAAGTATACATATTATTATTTAATTTATTGATTAAAAAATTATATACTAATATCTTATTTTTAATAGATGGTAAATGTTTAGTAGCAAAAAAATATAAAGAAAAAAACAATCTTTCAAATGATACAATAAATACTCTAGATTATCACTTTTCCAAAGAGATAGTATAGAGCAACTATGATGAACCTTTAATTCAAATGCTTATTGAAGAAAAAAAAGAAACAAATACATATATTTCAAAGTATAAAGAAATCCAAAAATACTTAGAAGAAAGTTTAGATCATAGAAATGATACAATAAAATATTGGAAAGAAAATAGTATTGAAGATCCAACATTATAATCAATTATAAGAAATGTACATTGAGTTGCTTCTTCGTCCGTTGAAATTGAAAGTACATTTTTGGGTTCTAAGTTGTTGGTTACATGTAGACAACAGATCAAATTTGGGTTGGGAAAGAATAGAACAATGTGTGTTATTAAGGGAATGGGCAAACATTTCAAGAGTAGATATTGTCGAAAACTCTGTCTTTTATAATTATTCAAATATTTCAAAAATGGAATGATTAAATAAAATTGTTCAAGAATTTTAATTTTTTTTCATACAAAAAAATAATGTAATTCTAAGTTTTTTTTTTTTTTTTTAAAGTTTCTTAGTTTTTAAAAAGAAAAAATTAGTCAAGTGGGTGGGTATGGGAGTGGGGGAAACTTAGAAATTTTTTTTTTTTTTGACAAAAAAAAATTAATCTATAAATTTTTATATTTTAAAATATAGTTTTATAAATATTTACTAATAATTTACATTTTATAAAATAGTTTTTATCTTTTTAATATATATTTTGTTTTTAATTGAAATGAATTAATTTTTTTTTTTTATACATTTGGTAAATCTGTGAAAGATAATTCTCCTGAGGAAATAATTTATAATAACAAAAGGATTTTATAAAAATTATATTATAATAATGTTTTGATATTCATTAAAATTTTTATATTTTTTATATTAAAAATTAAATTTTATTTTCTTTATTTGGTTTTTTTAAAAAATATATTTATATTTTTTAAATTATTTTAAATTTATTAAAAATTGAAAAAAATTTCCCGTACCCTTTCCAACACTTATCTTGATACTCGATTCTTGTAAAACATTAATGTCATAAGCCCAAGAAGACCTACCATGTTTATTATCAAATTGTTGGAACTTTACTTCATCCATAAACAAAATAAGGATTTTTTTATTGATCCACAATAAAATTTATATGCACAACTACAAAAAAAAAATCTTTTTCTTCTAAAATGTGTAAATCAATGGAAGTTTCTTAACTTTCTTTTATATATTATGTTAATATCTGATTTGTTTGGTATTGTTCCATATCCATTTTGTTCAAAACAAATAATGCTTAATTTTATTTTGTTAAATTTACTATTTAAAAAATTGACACCTTTATCATGTTTGTCAAACTTTTTTTCCCAGGACGTGGAAAGTTATTGATTGTATCTTTTTAATTTTTTTCTTTCTTTTGATTTATGCACTCCCAATTTTTTTGCAAATTTTTGAGTTCGACTTATGACCTCTGTTTTTATATATTAATATTGAGTATATAACTTCACTACTTATCCTCTTTTTGTTTATTTACTATATATCATTTTTAAACTATTTGTTACTTTTTAAATTAATGATAAAAAAAAATTTTAAAATTTAAAATTAAGAATGTGGTAAAAAATATACAGAAATTTTTTTTTATTATACCCACACCCCTTATTTTAAAATTAATTATTAATTAAGGAAGAGTTCTTAATATAAATTTTTGTGGGTAATTTATATTTTAATTATGATTTATTACAAAATATTTATTTGAAAATCTGAATTTTTTAAGTTTTGATATTCAAAGGTACCAACATTACAATTAATTTGTTTTTTTTCATCATGGACTATTTAAATCAGAAAAAAATCCATGGAGTTCTTTTTAATCGTTAGAATTACCACTACCACTCCAGTTACTAATAATAAAGCAAAAAAACAGTCGATTATCTAATCAATTATACAGAAGGTTTAAATGTACATCTATTAAAATTGAGTCGGGAATATAAAACAAAAATTTTTTTTAATATACCCCACTTTTTAAAAAATAAAAAATTAAAAATAAGTATAAAAAAAAATAAAAATAAAAATCTTTATAGATTAAAACATTGTCAAGATTAAAATGTGTTTTTTTATAAAAAACTATAATTGTTATTTTCTTTAGATTTGAAAACCTAATTAGTATTAAATAGATTTTATTTTAAATATTTTTTTTTATTAAAATTTTTTCTTTAACCAAAGAGCTATTTAAATCTTTAATTATGAATTTTTAATTATTAAGTACCAAATAAACACATAATGGAACAAAAGTTTAAAATATCTAAAATTATTAATTTTCAGTTATTAATTCTAACTTTTCTGAGTAAAGACATCTTTAATTTGAACAGATACACTCATAGATTGAACGGAATGTGATCATGTGATATATGAGTTAAAAATTTTTTTTAAAAAATATTATTTAAAAATCTTTTTATTTGATTAATTAATTAAAATATAAAATATATTAAACAAGAATCTATTGTTTATTTATTTTTTTTTTAATTTTTTTTATTTTTTCAAAATTTTGGTTAATTAACTATTGTTATAACCCCTATTATTTATTTTACTTAATTAAAAAAAAAAACCTAAATATTAAATAAATAAAAATTGATGTTATTATTTTTTAATCTGAAAGATTTAATTTTAAAATAAAATAAAAAAATTTATTTAATTTGAAAGATTTTTAATTATTTAAAAAAGATAAATAACATTTTTTTAAAAATATTTAAATAATTTTTTTTTTTAATATATTTTTTAAAATAATAATTACAAATAATATCATGGAAAACTATAATATAAATTCAAATCATCAACTATCCTCTATGCTTAGAAATATGGAAAACATTCATACCATAATTCAAAGTCCAATTGACAATCATAATAATGAGCAAAACAAAGGTTCTTTTAAAATTTTAGATATTGGTTCATCTCATGGAAGAAATTCTATAATTTTTTTAAATTCTATTTTATCAAAAATTAAACCACAAATAAATGATGGAACTATAGAAGTATATCATTGCGATTTAGAAATAAATGATTTTTCAAAATTATTTTTAGAAATTAATAAAAATGAAAATTCATACAAAAATAAATGGAACAAAACCTTCTGCTATGCAATTGGAAATACCTATAAAAATCAACTGATGTCAGATGGATCATGTGATATTATTTTTTCATATCACTGTTTCCATTGGTGTAGCTATGAAGATACACTGCTTTCAGGAGCTGATACCTTGGTACGAATTAAAGAGTCCTCTCTTTGTCCAAAAGTAAAAGAATTTAATATTGATCATCTATCTACAATTCTTTCTCATCGTAATAATGAATTAAAAAAAGGTGGTATTTTTATTTGTAATTTATTAATATTCGAAAAAGAAAACGAAATAACATATTCAATAGAATCAACATTTACAAATATTAAAAATATTTTAAGAGAAATGGCAAATGAAAATAAACTATCTCATAGAGAAGTTGATAATATATTTGTACCATTTACTTTTTTTAAAAAAGATGAAGTAGATATAGTTGTAAAAGAAGTTGGATCAAGAGGTTTAAAATTAATACACTCAGAAAAAACTTATGAAACTTGGGAACAAAATGAAAAGTTTGTTGATAGTGTATTATCAATTATTTCCCATTCAATTAAAAGACCTTTGGAAGGTGATGAAGAAAAAATAAATTCAATCTTTGAAGAATTTATAAAGAGATTTAAAATAAGTTATAAATTAAATCCAGAATTGTATTGTTTATACATGTGTTTTAAATTATTAATTTTTAAAAAAGAATAAAAAAATAAAAATTTAATTTTTTGGTATCCTTTACTATATCTTTTTAAAAGTGAAGATGATTTTTAAAGATACATAAAGATTTTTAAAGATACATAAAGTCATCAGTATTATATAATCAATTGTTATTGTGTTTTTTAATTTGGTTTGTGTTTAAGGCTTTTTTTTTAATAAAAAAATCAGTTTAGGGTAGTTTATTTTAATATTTTTTATTTTTAGAGTAAAGTTAACAGCATCTTCTACGACGACCAATATCAATATCAATATTGATAATGTTACTATTGCCACTACTGCATGGATTGAAACATGGTGTGAAACCACATGAACCGCCACCTAAGCTATTACCAAACCAAACTGATTCATTATCAGAGAATGAGACACTTCCAGATGAGTTTAACATTGAACTACTTGCAAAATTGTCCATACTAAAAAATTCATTCATACTAAAAAGTTCATTCATGTATGCTTTATTGAGCTACTTTCAAAATTGTCCATATAAAAATATCTCACTCATACTAAAAAGTTCATTCATGTTTATCGGTTTACTTTCATAAAAAATGAATGAATTATTTAGTATATAAAAAAAACTATCATTTAAACAAGAAAAAGTGAATGAGTGAGATAATTACCATATAAAAATGATTCATTTCTACTATTTTGCAAGTAGCTCATTGATTTAGATGAGGCACCGTTAACTGGGTTCATTGATGAAATAGATTCTATAAAAAATAATAAATAAAATAAAAATAAATGTTAATAATCTATTTATTTTTATAAATGAAAATATAATTTTATAAATACTTACTAATAATTGACATTTTATAATATAGTTTTTATCTTTTTAATATATATTTTGTTTTTATTGAAATGAAATTTAAATTTTTTATTTTTATACATTTGGTAAATTTGTGTAAGATAATTCTTCTGAGGAAATAATTTATAATGACAAGATGACTTTATAAAAATTAAATAAACTTATTTTTTAAAAAAACTAAATAAAGAAAATTAAATATAATATTTAATAAAAAAAATATTAAAATTTATTTAAATGAACGTCAAGGCATTATTAGTATGAAAATATGTAGAATCAAAATCAACAGTATTTTTTATTACTATTTAAATTTATTTAAATTAAAAAATTCACCCTTTTTTTCATTGTAATATTATTTTAATCAAAAATTTAACATGCAGTAACACTTTTTTTAATATAATATTCAATCTCTATATTAAATTTTTTTTTTATTAATAATACAAAATAATATAATATAGAGATTGATTATTATATTAAAAAATGTGTTTATTAAAATTTATTTATTTTTTTATTAAAAATATAAAATTCTTTTTAGAGATGAAAAAGTTACTTTGGCATTTAATATATCATTCTATAGAGAATTCAATAAAATTTTTAAAAAAAAAATTAGATTTAATCAAAGTGTTCAATTTTAAATAAAGAAATAGAAAAATTGAAATACAACTTAAAACTTTTTAATTTAAAAAAAAAAATTATAATTTCTAAAAAACAAAAAATATATTTTAAAACAGTTCTACTTTTATTTTTTAAAAAATTATAATTTATATTTCATTTATTTTTTTTTTCAATTATTATATTTTTTTAAAAAAAAAATTTTTTAATTCATTAAAAAATAATAACTTTCAAAAATAATAATCATATAATCTTTTTTTACAGTTTATTTTTTTTTCACAACCCTTTATCATTTAAAAATTCCAATATTTCTTTCACATATTTTTTCTATTTAATAATATTCAATAAAAAATGCTCAACAAAAATAATAATAGCAAAAATAACAATGAAGATCTATCAAGCTCAATTAATCAAGATGAAAACCAATTAAATTCAAATATATTCGAAAACTTGGCTTTTGTTTATGATAAATGTATTAACCTCAAAAGAAAAAACGAGCTTATCAAGATTATAAAAAAGAATGGAGGCAAAAGCTGCTATTCATGTTTTAAGGTAATTATATAACTTGTTTAATTTATATATAAATCAAAAACCAATACTAATTATTATTATATTAAAGGCCACACATTTAATTACTACAGTACAAGGCTATGTAGATAAAACAGAAAAAGTTCAACAGGCTCTTTCTTTAGGAATACCAATTTTAGTCAAAGAATATATTCATAGCTGTGTATCTAAAAAAGAGTTACTTCCAGTTGAAAACTATTTAGCATCATCCTCAACATCTGTAAGTAGTAGTAATAGTAATAAAAACATTAAATATTTAAATACTAATATTTTCGACTTTTATAATTAGAATAACGCTGTTTTATCAGTATCTCAAGATTTAGTAGTAAACACATCAAATTCAATTAGTTCAATGAACAATTCAAAATTAAAGAGTGATCATTCATCAGAAGGTGAATCTAAAAGTATGTCATCATCAATTAATTCAAATACTATAACAAAAGAATGCAATTGTATCTCAACTGAAAAGTTATCGAATACTTTTGCTTCTGTTGGTAAAGTAGATATTGATGAAAAGAAAACAACAACAACCAAGCCTTCAAACAATAGTTCACCAATCATCACATTGAATGCCTCTGAAGATATAAATGGTAATGGTTCAAGTACCACAGCTCAACTCAATCAACAAGTTTTAGAAGCTGAAAATCAAGCAATAAACGAAAGAATCAAAATGATTGAACATGAATTTGAAAGTTATAGAATAGCAAAGGAGAAATTAGTAATGGAAAAGGATACAGAAATCAAACAATTATTAGAAATTCAAAGAAAAAGTAGTATCCTCAAAGAATCACTCTTTAGAGATCTCGAAAATAGATGTAAAGAGGTCATTGACTTAGAATTTATTTTAGAAGAATATAAAGCTCGTAATGTTAAACTCACTGACCGTTTAGAGCGTTACAATAATCCAAGTGGACATGATGAAGAGAAAATGGTAATTCAAACTAAACTTGACGAAATGACATCATTAAAACTTCAATTAAATAATGAAAATATTCAACTCTGTTCAGAAATTAGAAGATTAAAGAAATTACACACCGAAAGAGACAAACATATTATTGGTTCAGAAAAAAATAAATCTACTAATCAAGAAACGCAATCTAAAGTAGTAACTAACCATCAAAACGCTGCAGTACAAAATGAAGGTATTAAAAATGAGCTTGAAGGAGCTAAATCAAAAGAATCTGAAAATTTTGTTGCTCGTATTGCAAGATTTTTTAGATGTGGAAGTGCTCAATTAAAATCAAAATCAAAATCAAATAATAGTGTAAAAAACGAGCCATTAATTTTACCAGGTTCTCAAAATAGCCAATTACCAAATTCTTTAGTTAGTGCCAATAATAATGCACTTGGTGATAGAATTGAACCAAACACAACATCAAATTCAAAAAATAGCTCATCACCATTGTACAAAAATAACAACACCTCACCATTGGTACCTCCACAACATTTACCTCAATTACCAGTTTGGAGATATAAATATATCTCTGCAGTTCTTCCAACATCAAAAGCCAAACCATCTCAAAGAGTACAGAATCTATAAATTCAGAATATTATATTTAAAAAATATTAAAATATACCCACATTCATAACAGCAATAGCCACCGCAATAACAGAACAATAGTAGACACACCGACCTCATTTCTTGATAATACATCATACTCGTCAAAATCAAAACTTATTTCTCAGCAACCACTTCAGATTTAATTAGTTCAATGAATGATTCAAACTTAAAGAGCGATCATTCAATGGAAGATGAATTTAAAAATAATTTACCATCAATTAATTCAAATACTTAAACAATAGAAAGCAATTATATTTCTACTGAAAAGTTATCGAATACTCTTGCTTCTTTTGATAAAGTAGATATTGATGATAAGCAAACAACAACAATCGAAACTATAAATAACAGTTCATCTTCAATTTGCAACTCATAATTTAAAAAAAATCACCATCTTCTACACCTTCATCATCATATAATTTAACACAACCATCACCATTTAATAATAACAACAACACCTCACCATTGGTACCTCCACAACATCTACTTCCATTACCAGTTTGGAGATATAAATATCTCTGCAGTTCAGTAAACTAAAATAATAAAATAAAATAAAACAATAAAATAATATAAATAATAATATAGATTAAAATTAGATTTTAATAAAAGAAAAATAAATCGCTTGACCATCATCAAATTATTTTTAAAAAAAATAATTCAAACTTTTCTTTAGTTTTGAATCAGTTGAGGTTTTTATTTAAAAATGAATATTGTATTTTTTGAAAGGAAAATAAAATTTGAAAATGAAAAAAAATAAAAAAATCAAAAAAAAAAAATTCAAAAAAAAAAAAACTCATTCATAGATCAAATTAATCTATTTTTTTTTATTATTTTTTTTTTAATTTAATAAGTTTTTTAATTTTTTTTTAATTTAGTTTTGTAATAATTATGATGAAAACTTGTTTTTTTTTTTTTTTTTTTTTTTTAATTTAATTAATTTTCTCCCATTTTTTTTAATAAAAAAATAGAAAAAATTAATTTAGTACATCATATTTTTAAAAAAAAACAATGAAGTATATATTTTATATTTATTACATATTTATAACATATATTTATATTATATTTATATTACATATATATATTTATATTACATATATATATATTTATATTATATATTTATATTATATATTTATTTTTATTTTTATTTTTATATTTATATTTATGTTTATATTTATATTTATGTTTATATTTATATTAATATTATATATATTTATATTAATATGTTTATATTATTTATTTATTTTATTTTTTTTTATATATTTTTAATCTAACACTTTTGAATTTTACATAATAGTTTCACACCAATTAGAACTCTTAAAACAAAAGACGGAAATGATCCTGTTTGTAGTGAAGAAGAGTATAATGACTTGAAAAATGGATATAAACAACTCAGTAGCCAACAAAAAGAAAGAATTCCCCCAGGACACAGAAATGCAATCAATAATCATCAACAGGTTCCAAGAAAAGGTTATTACAACAAAATTGCTGAAAGAATCAATAAAACATCATTAACAATCGATTATTTATCAACTAAAAAACCCTATAATAATGTAGTAGTTACCGATCCACAGCTTGGACTCTTGATAAAAGCTTACAACAGTCTCAGCGAAAAACAAAAAGGAGATCTACCAAATGATACCACACAAACAATTTTATCTACTGAAACAGTACCAAGAAGAAATCTTTTCAACAAAGTTGCTAAAAAATTAAATGTTTTATTACTCCAAGATTAATTAATCTTTTAATTTAATATTATAAATATAAATAATTCAAAAAAAAATTACAAAAGGGTGATTTTTAAAATTTAATTTTTTTTTTTCTTAAATAAAGTACTTTCTCATTATCTTTTCCATACTCATTGTCTTTTCTATACTATCAACCATAATGTCGTTGAAATGATTTAAAACTTTGATCTCTTTAACATTTTCTTAGGGAATGAATCTTTCTGTTCTAAATACAGTAAAATTTAAATAACATCATGAGTGTTTAGATTCCGGGGGAGTATGGTCACAAGTCTGAAACTTAAATATAAATATATGTAAACAAATAAATAATTTAATTTTTTATATTTTTTTTTTTTATTTCTATTTATAAATCTGAAAAGAAGCTTCTTTTTTCTTTTTCTTTTTGTTTTTGTCTTTCTTGTTGTTGAGCTTTAAATGGATTATTTGAAGGTTGCTTTTTATTTTTACGTTTTATATCTTCATCAGAGGATTCTTCATCTTCACTTTCATCGTCATCGTCATCACTATCGCTGTCATCTTCAGCCATTGCGTCGTCGTCTTGATCACCACCCTCAATTTCCTCATCTTCATCTTCACTATAAAAAACATTGGTTTCACCTGCATTTTCACCATCTTCTTGTTCGCCATCATCCTCTTCATAAAAACTAGAAACATTCCAAAACTTTAAACTGAAATCGTGTGAAATACTACCCAAATAACGATTATCTCTAGAGATAGCCATACGTTCGATTGGGAATGTTGAATGTTCACCTACAACACCTAAAAGTTTCTTTGGTTGTAACCCAACATAACGAATAATACCATCACTTGAGCCTGAAAAAAATGAATTATTATTAACCTTAACCATTGAATCAACTGATTGTGGATGTCCTATAAATTTCTTTTGTGATTCTAAATTATTTCTGTCATAAATTAAAATTGTACCATCTTGTGAACCACATACCAATTTTTCGTCGTCCTATAAATAGTAATTACATTTAATTAAAACTGTTTTAATTTTTTTATTCATTATATTTAACCAAAACTTACACATAGTGAAATTACAGATAATAATTCATTATCTGATTTCTCGGATATATCGTCCATTGATTTTCTAACAAAATTATAAATTGAAACACCACCATCACCAGATGAAGCTACAATGTGTTTATCGCCAATTGTAGTTATGTCTGAAATGAAATCACCATGCTCTTGAAATTCGCACACAATATTTTGTTGTCTCATATCCCATACCTTGATAGTACCTTCATCATCACCTGTAAATACCATAAAATCTTTGCTATATAAACAATTAATTGGGTTGCTAAATAAAACAAGTAAATAAATAAAAAAATACCGTTAGTATTCTTTTTTTTTTTTTTTGCTATTTCTTTTGATAATATTTATTTGTAGATTATTTGTAAATTCATACTCATGAGCCTCTTCTCTTGTATATAATATTGAACCTGTATTTATATCGATGACCTTCATTGAGCAATCTGAAGATGCAGTAAAAATATCTATGATTTATATAATAAATAAAAATATTTGTATTATTAATATTATTGTTATATTATTATTATTATTATTATTCTATTTATTTGTATTGTGGTAATTTCAATGCATACATTTGCCATCGCTTGAAAAATTTGCTTGTCTACAACCAGATTTATGTGGTCTTAATGAAAACTTTATTTCGTTCTCTTCGAGATTGTAGTGGTATAGTTTAACTCTTCCTTCTGCATCAGAGACAACCAATAAATCTTCGGTTGGATGAAAGTTTAATGAGAATGGAATAGTACCAAATGTAATATCATTTGGTGCTAAATCTTGATCTTCGCTATAATTACTTGAGGTATCCATTTTATTACTTTTGTTTTTATATTGTTTTTTTTGATTACAGAAAATATATTTTTTTTTAATATTTGTACATTAATTTTTATAATAAAATTTTATTTGTTTTTTTTATTTAAAATTAAATAAAAGGTATACACACAGCACACAACACACAATAATAATAATAATTATGTATATTCAAAAAAAAAAAAAAAAAAAAAAAAAAAAAAAAAAAAAAATTTTAATATTTCGTTTTTTTTTTTTTAAATATTAAAAAAAAATAATTTGAAAAATAAAAAAAAACAAAGTTTAAATAAAAATAAAAAAAAACTTTAATGTTTCTTTTACACAAAATTTAAAAAAATTTCTATTTTTAAATAATGAGAAAAAAGAAATAAAAGAAGAATTAAATAAATAAATATGGGTGATGGTATTATGTGTGTGAATTTGTGTGTGTGTTTTTTTTTTTTTTTAATATTTTTATAATAAATATTTATTTTTGTGGTTATGTTTATATAATATATATATTTTATTTATTTGAATATTTTAATTTTAGGCTGATTCATCTTTTTTTTCAGAAGAGTCAGTTGATTCGGTAGTTTTGGCATCTGTAGTGGCAGTGGTGGTAGTGGTTGTGGTTGTGTTTGTATTTGTGTTGGCTCTTGGTGAAACATATTCAATGCCAAAAATGCTTGCATATGATTGAATTTCTTGTTTTGATACTAATAAATGCATTGAGGTGCTTCCTCTCCAAGCAGAAAAGGTCATACCAGATGAAGGAGTTTCTCTGAGGTTACCAGAGATTTTAAGTGAGAAACAACCTGGACCTAATTTAACTAATTCTTCTCTAACTGCGGATGGGAAATCAACAAATTTAGGTTCGGTGTATTTAATAATTTTGGCTAAATCATCGTGGGTCATAGTGACAATACGTTTGGTGATGAATGGTTCTAACCAGAGAATTGAATCTTGTGAAATACGATATGGACAATCCATTGAACCTAAACCATCGTGACGTTGGAAAACTTTTAATGCGCAATTGATAATCTTTAAACGTTTATTTTCTGGGTTTTTGATGATTTCCATAACGCTATCTGATGCCCAATATACTTTTTGTGAGTTGTCGCTACGTGATAATAAATTGTTCATTGGGAACTCGTCTGTTAAACCATAAAACTCTTTAGCTACATTTAATTGTGTCTTCATTTCTTCGCTTAATAATTGGAATGGTTCTTCGTAAAACTTATTTCTTCTATCACGCTCTTTAATCTTCTTTTCGAATTTTCCTTTATTGTTATTATTATTATTATTATTTTTATTTTCTTCATCGGCTGGGGTTTGTTCTTTAGTTTCTGTATCTTCTTCGGTTGTAGTAGTAGTAGTAACATCTTTTTCTTCAGTTTTATTTAATTTTTTACCTAATTGATTTGGGAAATCTGCAACTTTTTCTAAAACAGCAATAAAGAAACCACCAGTATTTTGTTGATGTGGATAAACACGCATACAATACTCCAAGTGCATTTTCTTTGCTTCTTCTTCGGTTGATGGCCATAATGTTTTGAAATATTTATTTTTTTTAAGTTCATCTAATTCGTCCCAATTGGCATAGGTACCTTCTTTGTCAGTAACTGGCCATGTGTAAATACCTGGACTACGGACAAGATCTGGGTATTGAGATGAAACATCAACTAATTTCATTGAACCTTCTGATCTTTTTAAGAGGGCTGCAATAACAGCTTCATTTTCAACTGGGTTCATTGAGCATGTTGAATATACAATACGACCACCAACCTTTAAGAGATGACAGCCACGTGTAGCAATTCTAAGTTGTAATGTATGAAGACCAATACCGCCTGAAAAGTTCCATTTCTTCCAAACCTCTGGATTTTTACGTGAGGTACCATCACCGCTGCATGGTACATCACAAAGAATACGATCTAAATACATTGGTTCGTTATTTGAGTCATAGAGTAATGGGAAATTTTGAGCTTCGTGATTTGTAATGATAATAGCTGGACTGCCTAAACGACTGGTTTGATGAGCCAACATATAACAACGATTGGTATCGACATCATTTGCAATGATTGAACCTTTTGGAATATAGGCAGATGGTTTTTCAACGTCTAAATTTACTTCGATGTTATGTTTCATATGAAGATCTTCGAGAATTTGTGTGGTTTTACTGCCTGGTGCAGCACACATATCTAAAATTCTGTGGTGACTTTGTACATCTAAAAAGAGTGGTGGAATCATGGAAACGGCTTCTTGACGAGTAATGTTACCTTGTTGATTGTGATGAATTAAAAAGTTGTGGAATTTTGTAAGTGCTGGATTCTTTCTAAATGATTTCTTTGGAATATCAGAGATCCAAGCCATATTGTTTGGATACCATTTGAGTGGTTTTGGCAATTCGACCATTTCACCATCAATTTCAATAGTTCCGCTCTTATCATTTGCAATTTCGTTTAATTGATCGACGACAACAGATTGAAGTGATTTACCAATAGTTGTATTGATACGGAATGTGGTTGGGAGTGGTTTGGCTAATGTGCCCATAAAATTTTCCCATTCTGCATCATCTTTACAAATACCTAATGTCTTATAATATGCTTCAAAAAATTCGTTTCTTGGTACAATATCATTCCAATATTTTGTACTATCGATTTTATTGTCACCTGCTGTTGATTCTTCACCACCTTCAGTCTTACTCTTTTTTGTTCTTTTTGGATCCCATGTATTTGGTTTCTTTTCTCTTTTTCTGCCCATTTCTAAATATAGATTTATTATTAATAAAATATTTTATAAAATTTAATAATTAAAATTTAAAAAAAATACAATTAACCAATATTATTAACGATATTGGAAAATTAACAAACTAAAACATTATTATATATTTAAATGGGATTACAAACCTTTATTATTATTTATTTAACAAAATTAAAAATAATAAAACTTTAAGAAAATTTTATTTTTTTTTTTTTTTCGTTTTTTTAAAATAAAAATAAATAATTTTTTTTTTTTTTATTTTTTTTTCAATAAAATTTTTTTTAATTTTTTTTTTAAAATTTTTTTAAATTTTTTTTCAAATTTTGAACAAAATAAATTTTTTTTTATTTAGAATTTTTTTATAATAGTCTATATATTTTAAAATATATTTTAATTGAATCGATAAAACAATGTCAGAAGAAGATGTTTTAGTTTTTGATACTTCCATGAAGAAGAAGAAGAAGAAGGAAGTTGTTGCTCAAACTGGTAAGTTAAAATATTTAAAAAAAATATCAAAGTTTTAGATGCAGCCGATGAACTTTAATATTAAGTCTTTTTTTAAAACAATCAACTAATACAATCCTTTTTTATTTATTTAAAACTATAAATTAAAATCAAATTCAATATCAAAATATATAATCAAATTCAATATTAAAATCAAAATCAATTTAATAATAATATTTAAAATAATTTTAGATGAGGAAAAGAAGAAATTAAGATCAGCAACTTTAGCAATGATGCAACAACAAGAAGAAGAAGAACAAGAAGAAGAAAAAGAAAAGAAAGAAAAGAAAAAGAAGAAGAAATCATCATCAGCTGCAAGTGAAGAAACTGAAAAAACTGAAGGTGGTGAAGAAGAAAGTTTAGAAAATACAGATTTCTTAGCTGAAAAGAAAAAGAAAAAGAAATCATCAAAATCATCAAGTGCAACTACTGAATCATCAGAAACTACCACTGATGCCGTTGAAGAAAAAGAAGAAAAAGTTGTTGAAGGTACCATTCCATGGTTAGGTGTTGATCGTGATTACAAATACTCTGAACTTACCTATAGAATCTATCATCTCCTCCAAACTAATAATCCAGATTTAATTTCAGACCAAAAACGTCAAATGAAACCACCACAAGTTATGCGTGAAGGTACTAAAAAGACAATTTGGGCTAATTTTGCCGAAATCTGTGGCATGTATGTAATTTCAAATTTAGAATATAGTTTAAATAGCATTTTATCAAGATTTATTAATCATCATTAACAACCACAATCAAAAACAATAATAACAACAACAACAACATATTATTATTATGAATATAATTATTAATCATTTATTAATTTTTTTATAACAGTCTTAACCGTAAACCAGAACATGTTTTAACTTACGTCTTTGCAGAACTTGGTACCAATGGTTCCATCGATGGTAACCAACGTCTTGTTATTAGAGGTAGATTCAAAACTTCACAAATCGAAGTCGTTATTCGTCATTATATCTCTGAATACGTCGCTTGTCGTAATTGTAAATCCCCAAACACCATTTTGGAAAGAAACAATCGTTTATACTTTTTATGCTGTAATGCATGTAACTCTAAGAGATCTGTAGCTGTTATTAAGAAGGGTTTAGAATCAGTTGGTAAAAAAGCACCAAAGTAAGTTTACATATTTGGAATATTACATAAAAGAAAACAAATCAATCAATAATAATACTAATTATATTTTTAATTTTAAATTTACAATTTTAATAGAGAACAACAATAAATCTTTTAATATATTTATAAATAAAAAAAAAAAAAAAAGTAAAAAAAAAAAAAAAAACTAATTAAATGATAATCTTTAAACCAAAAAAATATAAAAAATATAAAACCAAACAAAAAAAAATAAGGCAAAATAAAATATTTTAATATAAATATCTTATAAACATAAATTATATTTCTAAATTTGTTTATTTTGGACTATCACTGTCTTCTTTCTTGTCTATATTACATGTTGTATCTTCATTGTCTTTATTCATTTCAACGTCAGTATTGCTTGGTACTGTTTCTGTTACTATTGATGGTTGTTTTTCTAATTTTTCAAATTTTTCATCTTCGTCATTTTCTTTTTTATTGTTATCATTATTTCTTTCGCTGCTATGTTCATCATCATCTTCATCATCACTATTTCTTGATCTATTTCTTCTATTGTTGTTATTATTGTTATTATTACTATTATTATTGTTATTTTTATCAGTTATTTTCATTTCATCTTCATCTTGGTTGATTTTTAATTTGAATCCAATTTTGTCAGCTAGTGGTGACAAACTAAAGTAGATTTGTGGTTTACATTTGGTTTTATATTTGAAATTTGATAAAACTTTGTTTTGAAGGCTCCATGATTCTTTTAAAATCTTTTCTTCTAATTCCTCTTGTTTCTTTATTAGTTCTTCATGGACTTTCTTCTCTTTTTCTTTTAATTGTTCTTTCTTTATACGTTCATTTTCTTTACGTTCTTCCTCTTCTTTATTGATTGCTTTTTCAATCTTTTGATCAACTTCAATTCTTCTTAAATCCGATTCTGTTTTTTTTGATATGTTCTTTTGAAAATCTTGTAGTGTTCTATTCAACAAACCAACAAACATTCTATTTCTTTTTTGTTCTGGGTTTTTTGCTGCCGAGTTTGTAGTTGTTGTAGTTGTTGTAGTGCTGGTGCTAGAGTCTGTTGTCTTTCTATCTGTGTTACTGTTATCAGGTTCATTTTTATTTTCTGTTGTAATTGAACTACCACTTGATGTAATGGTTGCAGTTATTTTCTTTGTGTGAATGTCGCCGTCTTTATTCTCACCTTCAACAACTGTAACACTTTTTACATTCTGGTGTCTTTTTCTTCTATTGCTATCGTCATCATCATTATTTTTATAATTGTTATTGTTATTGTGATTATGATATTGATTTCTATTTCTTTTATAATTGTTATTGTAATTGTGACCGCCACGATGATGATTATTATTATTATTATTATTGTTATTATTATTATCTTCTTTATTGAGTTTCTCCAACCTATCTTCTACCTTTGCTTTTTCTTTTTCTATTGTGTGGAGTTTATTGATTAAATTTATTTGATGTCTATAGCTCATTTTATTAGTTGTTTAATATTAAAAATGAAAAATAAAAAATTAAAAATAATTTTTTAATGAATTTTAAAAAAAAAAAAAAAAAAAAAAAAAAAAAATAATTATTTTTTTTATATTTTATAATTTTTTTATAAATAGATTTTAATATAATTTTTTATAAATCTGGTTTTTTAAAATAGAGAAAATGATAATTTTAAAAGAGATTTATTTAGATAATTTTTTTTTATTTTTTTTTTTATAAAATAATAGATTTTTGGTTATTATTTAATTTTTTGATTTATTATTTGATTATAAATTAGTTTTGTTGAATATTATAGCATTTTTCCATATTAATTTTTGTACTTTGCATTTTATTTCCAAAACCATCTCTTGCTGCATTAAGTAATAAACCCGAGGCATCTGCTGAAATTGATTGATTGAATAAACCACCAAGACCTTTTTCACGGACAAACTCGGCTTTCGATTTAACAGACTTTGGAGTCTCTATTGACATGAAAAGTTTGGTTTTTTGATTGTATAAAAATTCAGCTTTACTAACAGGGTCATAATGAAGTTTGAATCCATTCATTGGTTTTCCACTTTCAAAATCGATATAATTGTACATGATATCGTTGAAGGTTGAAACAGCACTTTCAAATGTACCAACTACTTTTGGATTTCCTTTAGAGTTAAAAGTTGCTTTGAATTTACCTTTTAATGGGGACCATGATAAAATTTCAGTATCAATAGCATTTTTGGAACCAGTTCTATAGCCAATATGGATTGATTTTGGATTAACACCATTTACCCCAATTAAATAATCAACAGCCTGTTGAGCACATACTAAACTTGAATCATGTTTTAATTCTGAGCACCACCCACCGAAATAATCTAGAGTCAAAAGGTAAATATTACTTGCACCATTCAACATTAGGTTCTTTGCATTGATTTTTGAAAGTTGGTCAATGGTTGCAGGCAATGTGACGTTGATGTCCCCATAGAATTGTGGTAACTTCATTCTGAGTTCTTGGATTAGTTTACAATAGTTTTCACAGTCTTCAGGAGAGTACTCATTATTAACATCGCCATGAGAGCATGGATATTCCCAATCTATTAAGATTGAATCAAACATTGGGAATCTATGGAGTATATCTTTAACCCCATCAATGAACATTGAACGGTTTCCTTCAGTTTTAACCATATGATGAAATGGTTGTGAAAAACTCCAACCACCAATTGCCATTTCTAATTTTAATTCTGGGTTTTTTTCTTTCATCATTCTTAATCCCCCCAATAATCCCTGACATTGTCTTTGGTTATATTTCTCTGGTAAAGCAACATCATTCCAGCCTTCAAATCCTACATTTGTAAAAGATTGACATGCTCCGAACGAATCATTTGGAACAGGGGTATACTTGTTATCAAACATCATTAAATCATTAGCAGATTTTTCAATTACATGTTTTTTTACTCCCTAAAAAAAAATTATTTTAAAAAATATTAATAATTAAAAAATTTATAAATATATACAATAAAATACTTACTTGATCCCCAACCAAGCCAAAGTAGCAAAAAACCAATTTGTCATAGGCATATGGATTAACAGTTGCTAGATCGAAACCTTCTCCCCAGGTTTCTGTGTTATTTAAACGGCCATCGAATTGAGCTGTATTCTGAATAAAACCAGTTACCTTGTATTCATTTGGCAAATAAGAGTTGTATAGTTGATTTACAACTCTACTTGAGGTAAAACTAAGCTTATGCAATTCTTCTTCTGAATTAAAGTCATAGTCTCTTTGAACTAAATCTTTTCTTGTGAACATTTTTATTAATTAAAATATAATATTTATTTACAAATAAAATAATATAAAAACAAATAATAATTTAATTTTTTTATTTAATTTTTTTAAATTAAAAATATAATATACAAAAAAATTATTTATTTTTTAATTTGAACAACACTGAAAAAAAAAAAATTAAATAAAAAAAATTAATAAAAAAAATAAACAAATTATGAATAATGGGGGGTAATATTTAAATTGAAAATAACCATTGTTCATATAAACATGAATTTTTAATTAGTGTGTATTGGTGTGAGTGTGTGTGCGAAGGGGGGAATAGATATATTATTGTTTCTATTTTTATTATAATATTGGGTAATACAATTAAATCCATCAATAGAAATATTACTACATTAAAAACAATAATAATTATTATTAAATATCTTTATTCTAATTTTATTTGGGAAAGGTAGTTTATAATATCACTATTTAAATATCTATTTTTGGCCTCTTTAATCATTTCTTGTACTAGATATGAATTTTCTTGATTGTCTGGAAATAGAGCCAATACTTTATTTATTTTATTAATGTCCATGGCTCTGACAATCATTGATATTAAAGAGTCGCTGTATTGAAAAGTATTGGATTTAAAAATGTATTGAAAAGGTGATTCTGGAATGGACTGATTGCTGGTGATTATTGGTTTGTGATTTTCTAATAGTTCAAAGAATAAATCGTGTCTACTTGTTTTGAGATAGTATCTGAGTTCTAAAAGAAAGAATTGCTTTTCTAATGTACTATTGGGTAGATTTAATTGTTTAATTGGTTTAGTTATGAGCTCTTCTTTGACCACTTTGATTAAATTATCAGTTGATGTAGTTCTAATAAATTCGATTGTGAATAGTTGAGGAGAAATGCTAAATAGTAAATCAAAATTGAAACTTTCAATACCAAAAATTTCATGTGCTAGTTTTTGATCAAAGTTGTAATTGTCAAATAATGCTAATGCTTTCATTATTAATATGAATACTCTAATTGAAATGATACGAATATAATGAAATGAATGGCAGGGACTATGCATCAAGTTTGCTCCACTATCTAATACCATTTGATGATACTTTAGCAATGTTTCTACCGATAATGTTTTTAATTTGATAAGTTTAATAAAATATAAATTTATGACTTTACTACATATTTCTATAAATGATTGGTCTCTTTCTTTAATTTGCTTTAACCAGTAATCTAAACCTCTAGCTATCTCATTGTATCTTTCTTGAGTGTATAAAACATTAGAGTTTACTATTAGAGTATGTCTTAATTTATAAAAAATTGAATGGGTTATATTTAAAGATTTAATTTTGGGAAAGTTGTTTAGCACTATTTCGAATCCATTTAGATCGCTATTTAAAAGCGACTTGTTGAATATTTCCAAACCATAATTGTATGAATCATTTAAATAGTTGATTTTTACACCGGTAACATCTTTTTTTTTATCTATAATTTCGTTTATAATGATTTTATAAAAGAAAAATGATACTCCTGAGTAGTTGGTCTCACGAAAACATTCGAAAAGATTTTTTAATTGTGCATTCCCTATTTCTGGTCCAAAGATTACTTTATAATAAAAGGTTGATGAAAATAATTGAACTATTGGTATCATATCTTTTATTAATTGAATATTGCACTCTGATATAGCATTACAATACAGGTAAGAGTACACTCTGTAAACTAGACGTTTGTCGCGGTAGTCGGTGTGGTTTGTAAAACCTTCTAAACTTTTTGTTTTCGAGTACATATAATTTGCTACTGGTAGTGACCCGATCTTAAAGTAAGCTATATCATTTGAAAATATTATTTCTTTGCCAAAACTAACAATATAGTTGATTTCATCCATTTCTTCGAGGACTGGTGGGTTTTCATTTGATAATACTTTACATAGTGATTCTATTTCTTTATAGTCTGAAATATTGATGGCTTTTGCTGTATGTATTTCATTTATGTGTCTAAAGTTGCATTGATTTGATTTAGAGTCTTCATCGGAGCTTGATTCGCTGCTTTCGCTGCATTCGTAAGAATTATTTAAAACATTTATTTTATCTATATCTGGTTTAAAATTAAAAATATCTAATGATTGGATAGTGTGCCTAATTTGTCTATGGTTGAAATTATGGTAAATCTTGAGCAGGTCCTGATGATTAAAAAAATTATTTATTGTACCATTTCCTATACAAAAATCTAATATTATTTTTATATATAGTGGGTTTTTTTTACTAATTACAAAGTTTACAATATTTTTATTGATTGGTTCTATATCGCTATTGAGTATAATTCTGAATACTGTAGGCAGCTGATTTTCAATACACAAATAAACAAGACTACTGTGAACTTGGTCATCCTGAAAAAAAACTCTATCCATTGATTTTAAACTATTTAGAATTTGTTCTTTTCTTATTGTAAAAAATAATTTGAAAACTTCCTCAATAACCAGGTTATTGTGATTTTTTTCATAAATCTTCAGAAAATTTATAATTGAGTCACCAGATGTTATGACTATTTCTTCATTTGCTTTTAGTTTACATAATAGAAGTTCAAACTGGCATTTATCAAGCATCCAACTAAGCAGTTTAATATTTTTAAATTTGATTTTTCTTTTTATATCGTCGATTTCTCTGAAGTCAGTTTCGTGGTATCCCATTGACTCTATTTCGTTTATTATCTTTTTTAATAAATATTTATTATTAAAAACTTTAAAAAATATATATTCATTATCACTATTAAATTTTTTATGGTTTTCCATTTGAAAAAAAATTTTATTAATTTTGAAATTATTATAATATTTATTGTTATTGCTATTATTTTTATTATATGGTTGTAAAAAAATATTATGGAAAAAATTTAAAAATTACAAAATTTAAAAAAATCTTTAAAAATAAAAAAAAAGTAATTTAAAAATTACCAAAAAAAAATGTATGGGGCAATAAAAAAAAAAAAAAAGTTAAATGAATAAAAAAAAAAAAAAATTAAATGATTAATATTTATTTTTAATTTTTTTTGTTTTAAACAAAAGTATATTTTTTTCTTTTAGATAATTTATAATAAAGTGATGGTTATTAAGTGGGGGTATATTTTTTGGATTGCTATTTTGAAAAAGATCAATATTTAAATACTCTATGTGGATTATTAAATTTTCTTTATTGTAATATTTTGAAACTATATGATCGAGTACGTCTAATCTTGATTCTTTGATTGATTCATAGTAAAATCTTTTAATTAAATCCTTTTGAATCTCTGAACAAATTTCAATGATGGCATCAATTGAGTGAATATCCATTGCCCTGATGATCATTGCCACTAATGAAAGACCATAGTTTTGAATTGCCCATTGGGGTTTATGGGGTAGGTTTCTATCATTAACACAATCCTCTTCCTCTTGGTATATTTCATCACCGTCGATTAAAAACTGGTAAATTGAAATTAAACTATCAATTGATTTTCTACCTTGTAACAACTTTAACTGAGTAAAGAATATGTCTTGTCTATTAGTTTCTAAATAAAACTTGAAATCGTGCAAGTGGCTAATGGACTGGTATCTGGGGTATGAATATGCCATTTTTTCTGTTGGTTTATATGAAACATCTTCTCTTAGAGACTCCAACAACTGATCTTCGCTTGTGTCCATAATAAAATCGATTGTATATTTGCTTGGTTTGAAATACCTTCTAAAGTCATAAACCTTTTCTTTTAAATTTTCATAACCATCATTTTCACATTCTTGAAAGTTGCTAAAATCCGTTATCTTTGCTATTTTTATATTTAAATCACAGCTATCGCCAGCTTCAACGCACCGAACTATTTCTCTATAATCGCCTTCATAAATATACTGATTTGAATCTGGTATGTGGGTGTCTATATTGGGAAATGATTTAATTGAATGAGTATACCTAATTCTAATTCTATAAAAGTATGGTCTTTGCATTAAATACTTGAACAATCTAATTGATTTGAGACGAAGGTAATGAAACGAGTGATAAGTGATATGTCTTGATTTTAAACCATTAGCAGCCAGTAATTTATAATATTTGATCAAACTTTCAATCTTTGCATCTTTTAGACCGATAAATGTGCCAAAATAAAAATCCACCATTCTATTACAAAGCAGTTTATATGTTGAATCTCTTTCTTTAAATTGTTTAATCCAAAACTCTAATGCATTTAAAAGACTGGTTTCGCTGTAACCTGTAGTAAAAAACACATTTCCTGACTGATCTATTAAAGTGTCATATAGATCTTTATTGATTTTAACAAGTTTAATAAATGGAAAAGAATCTAATAGAAACTGGAATACTCCAATATCGCATTTTAGAATGGCCTCTGCAAATAAACTAACCTCGCATCCTTTGCAATCCCTAAACCCCTCGACCAGAGCATTTGAATTTAATTTAGTATCAGTAGTTGTAACTTCACATGCCTCTAACTCATCAATCTTTTGCTCGATATCTTCATTACCACTTTCCCCTTCTTTTAAGACACAATAATAATCTATTAGCTTGTGGACCACTGAACCTTGGAAATTTTCTTTTATCTTTTTTATTTTTGATTTTTTTATTGATCCGAAGTTTTTATTTTTTATATATAATTTTATTACTATTTTAATAAAACTTTCTTTTAATATTAAACTTGATAAATTATCTTTGGTTATTTTAATCGATAATGGTTTATTTACCAAATAACTGAATAGATGTTCAAAATTATTGTTGATGCAAAAACCTAAAAGGTTGTCTTTTTTATTGTTAAAAACCTCTATTAATATTTTATTGTATTTTTCTTCACCTCTAAACCTATTGAATAATTCTTGTAATATTTGATTATCAACATGTTTGTTGAATCTTTGAATAAATTCACCCATGGATGATTTGTTAACCATAGATATATATTCATTGGCTTTGATTTTGCATAATAAAAGTTGAAATTCACCCCTCTTAACCATCCATTCCATTGAATTGATATATTTAAATTTGATTTGGTTTTCAATAAAGTTGTATCTATAATAATCTCTATTTAAATTGTCATTTCTGTCCCATACAAGGCTTTGAAAAATTTTTTTATTCAAGGTAACATTACGATAAATCTGCCAAAATAACTTTTCGATTTTGGTTTCATCTTCCATTATAAAAAATTTTTCTAAATTATAAAAAAAAATTATACAAATAAAAAAATTTTATTAATAATTAAAAAAATATATTTAATATTAAAATAATATTAATTAATATTATTTATTATTTAATATAAATAATTATGTAAAAAGAATGGATACATACCAAATAAAAATTATAATATATGATGGTTACATTAAAAAAATTCTATTAGTTTGCTAATAAACATATAAAGATATTAATATTAACATAATTATACAAATACAAAAATATAAAATAAATATATAAATAAATAATAATATTAATTATGATAAAAAAAAAGATATTATTAAAAAAAAAAAAAAGCTATTTTTCAGTTTACAATAATTATTGTAAAAACTGTTCAAATAACGCATGTGGATATTTGCAATCTAGATAAAAAAAAATGAAAATTTTTATTTTAAAAAAAATAAAACCAAATAAACCCAAATAAAACCAAAATTTTCCCAAAATTTTTTTTTTTTGAATTTAAAAAAAAAAAAAAAAATTTTTGATTTTGAAATAAAAGGCAAATATTTTTCATTTTTTCATTTTTAATTATAAACTCTTAAATAAATATATATAAAATAAAATGGAAGGTGAAGATGTTCAAGCTTTAGGTATGTTTTATTATAAATATTTTCAAAAAGAAATATAAAAAAAAAAATTTAGTTATTAATATAAAATTTATTTAAAATATTATAGTTATTGATAACGGTTCAGGTATGTGCAAAGCCGGTTTCGCTGGTGATGATGCCCCAAGAGCTGTTTTCCCATCAATTGTTGGTCGTCCAAGACACACTGGTGTTATGGTCGGTATGGGTCAAAAAGACTCATATGTTGGTGATGAAGCCCAATCAAAGAGAGGTATCTTAACCCTCAAATACCCAATTGAACACGGTATTGTTACCAACTGGGATGATATGGAAAAAATCTGGCATCATACTTTCTACAATGAATTACGTGTTGCCCCAGAAGAACACCCAGTCTTATTAACTGAAGCCCCATTAAATCCAAAAGCTAACAGAGAAAAAATGACTCAAATTATGTTCGAAACCTTCAACACTCCAGCCATGTACGTTGCCATTCAAGCCGTCTTATCATTATATGCCTCAGGTCGTACCACCGGTATTGTTATGGATTCAGGTGATGGTGTCTCCCACACTGTTCCAATCTACGAAGGTTATGCCTTACCACATGCCATCTTACGTTTAGATTTAGCTGGTCGTGATTTAACCGATTATATGATGAAAATCTTAACTGAACGTGGTTACTCATTCACCACCACTGCTGAAAGAGAAATCGTCAGAGATATCAAAGAAAAATTAGCCTACGTCGCCTTAGACTTCGAAGCTGAAATGCAAACTGCTGCCTCATCATCTGCCTTAGAAAAATCATACGAATTACCAGACGGTCAAGTCATCACCATCGGTAACGAACGTTTCCGTTGCCCAGAAGCCTTATTCCAACCATCATTCTTAGGTATGGAATCAGCTGGTATCCACGAAACCACTTACAATTCAATCATGAAATGTGATGTTGATATTCGTAAAGATTTATACGGTAATGTCGTCTTATCAGGTGGTACAACTATGTTCCCAGGTATTGCTGATCGTATGAACAAAGAATTAACTGCTTTAGCCCCATCAACCATGAAAATTAAAATCATTGCTCCACCAGAACGTAAATACTCTGTCTGGATTGGTGGTTCAATTTTAGCCTCACTTTCAACTTTCCAACAAATGTGGATTTCAAAAGAAGAATATGACGAATCAGGTCCATCAATCGTCCACAGAAAATGCTTCTAAATTATTTATTATGTACAATATAAAACTTTTAATAAAACAAAATATATAAAATATTTCTTTAATGTCGATTTTATCCTTAAAGAAATTTAAAAAAAATATAAAACTTTTTTTTTTTTTTTTATTTTAAATTATTTTTAAAGAGCATTTAAACCATTATTAATTTGGGAATCATATTGCGATTCAATTTCATTAATTTTTTTATGAACTATATCTATCATTAATTCTTTTTGGCCCACTATTATATTAAATGGGATTTCATCTTGGTTTCCATATCTAATTATTATTTCTGCTAATTTCAATGGACTTTTATTTGGGTATTTTGATAATACACATTGCGAAATTTCATTTAATGTATCATATTCATCAATCTGGTTTGAATAAATATTTGAGTTTTTGCAAATTGATGATTCAATGGAACCCAATACAACATATGATACCTTAATATTAAATTTTTTAACCTCATAATGTAAAGCTATGAATAAAAAAAATTAGTATTTTTAGATTATATAAAATAATTTTAGAAATTACATTCTGTTAAACCGCTTAAAGCACTTTTAACACTGCCATAGGAACCGTAAAAAGGAATAGGTTTAATACCTCCCACCGAGCCAATATTGAAAATATATCCATATTTCATTTTTCTAAAATATGGTAGTGCTGCTTTGATTACATTTAATGGTCCATAGTACATGCAATCGAACATTTCTTTGTAGTCTTCATTTGAAACCTCTTCAATTGAACCCATTTTAACCATACCACTATTATTTACAACAGTAGTCAAAGTTCCAAAATAGTCGATAGTTTTTTCTATAGATTCATTTACATTATCAACATTTGTAATATCTACTTGTAATGGTAAGAAATTTGGATGGGTAACTAAATTTTTTATAAGAGCAAGTTTATTTAAATCTCTAGATGTTCCTGCAACCTTGTATCCACTATCGAGTAAAACCGTTGCTAAACCTAATCCAACTCCACTAGTGACACCTGTAATATACCATACTGTGTTATTCATTCTTTATAAATTTTGAAATTTATATTTAATATTATTTAAAAAAAGAAATTTATATAAAATAAATAAAATTAATATTTAGTAAGCTTTTATTTATAGATTTAAGAAAAAAAATAATAAAAAAAAAATTACTATGAACATTTATTAATAGATTTTAAGAAAATAAGATACTTTTATTTTAGTTTAGTGTAATTTGGATTTTTCCATTATAGATATCAGTACCAATATTAAAGGTCAGTATTTAAATTACTTTCTATTTGGGTGTTGTATTGGCACTCCAAATCATTGATTTTATTACAAATTACCTCCTTCATTAGACCAGCTTCACCTACCATAATGTTAAATGGAATTTCATCTTGATTACCATATCTAATTAATACCTCAGCTAATTTGAAGGGGCTTTTCCCTGGATATTTTTTAATGAAACTTTTTTTTAACTCCTCTAATGTATTATACCCATCTATGGCTTTTGAAAATCTGTTAGGGTCTGTAGTTATGGATGTGGCAAATGCACCTAAAACCACATATGATACCTTAATATTAAACTTTTTAACCTCATAATGTAATGCTATATAAAAAACAGATAAATTAGTTTTTACAATGAGATACACCCAAATATAAATTAGTTTAATATACATTACATTCTGATAAACCACACAATGCAAATTTAGCGCTACCGTATGCCCCAATATATGGAACAGGTTTAATGCCACCTACCGAACCTATGTTGAAAATATATCCATATTTCATTTTTCTAAAATATGGTAATGCTGCTTTGATTACATTTAATGGTCCAAAATACATACAATTGAATAGTTCTTTATAATCTTCATTCGAAACCTCTTCTATTGCCCCAATCTTTCCCATTCCACTGTTATTAACAATGGTTGTTAAAGTTCCAAAACAATTGATAGTCTTTTCTATAGAATCATTTACATTATTTACATTAGTGATATCTACCTGCAATGGTAAGAAATTTGGGTTCTCTATTAATGTTTTAATTTTAATTAATTTATTCATATCTCTTGAAGTTCCTGCTACCTTGTATCCGCTCTCCAGTAAAACTGTTGCTAAACCTAACCCAATTCCACTTGTAACCCCTGTAATATACCACACATCATTTTTCATAATTTGTTTATAAAAAAAATAAATAAAAAAAAGGAAAAAGAAAAAAAAAAAAATAGAAATTATAATATTTATTTTGAATTGTAAAATAAAAAATAAAAAAAAAAAATAATAAAATATAAAAATAAATAAATAAATAAATAAATAAATAAATAAAAAAACAAATAAATAAATAAATAAATAAATAAATAAATAAATAAATAAATAATTAAATGAAAAAAAAAAAAATATCTATTACACTAAGCCACAGGTATACATATAAAACTAACCACATTTTTTCTATGTAATAAAAACATTATTTTTTTGGGATGAAAAGATTGAAAGAAATAAATATAAAATTAAATTTTTATTTTATTATTTTAATTATTGTTTATTTTTACTTTAAACAATTATAATTTATATTTACTTTTATATTGACAGCTTTGAATACAAAATTATTTAAACTATTATTATTAAGAATTAAATTACTATTCCAATATTATTAAAAATAATCTTTGGTTGTGTTAAATGAAATTTCATCTTGATTAAAATATGAGCACGGTATTTCAATGTATATATTTTAAAACTTTTCAAACTGATACTCTATCGACTCTAAATTTTAAAAGAATATTAATGATGAATTTTAATAAATTAAATTAATCCAAATTTAAGCATTATAATTTGAATCTAAAAAAAGAATGGATTAAATACCGAGCCAACCAAACCTAAATTGAAAACCAAAGTTGGAAAAAGAATACTATTAAAAAAATAATTTTATTAATGTGTATATACATATAAAACAAAAATTCGAATCGATGAAAGTTTCAAATTTATTGTTTAAAAAATTATGTTTGGCAAAGTATCCAAAGTATCTAATTACACAGAATTGTGCAATCATTAAAAAATCTAATTTTGGGCAAGCTAAAAAAAAAAAAATTAAAAAAAATTAAAAAAAATTTTAAAAAAAAATAAAAATAAATTTTTTTAAATTTTTTAAAATTTTTTTTTAAAATTGTTAATTTATTAAATCCAAAAATAATAAAACCAATCATCCAAATTCAGGAGCTCTCACTAAAATCATTTTTTTGGTTAGTGTACTCGCCGTATTCTTCCCAAAAAGTATTACTATATTTGTAACCAACAGTTTCCATAGTTTCTTTTCGATTACTAAAAAGTTTTTTTTTTTTAAACAATAATTAATTTTTAAACACAAAATCAAAATTATTAAATTTAGCCTCAACTATTAATAACAATAAAAGAAAAAAAAAATAAAACGTAAGTAGGATGCACAACAAAATAAATACATATCTGTGTGTAATTTTCAGTTTAAAATAAAAAAATAAAAATAATAAAAGGAAGAAAAAAAAATACTTATTTATTTTAATACTAATAAAATAAAATCATATTCAACTTTACACTTACAAATCAAAAAAAAATAAAAAAATAATAAAAAAAATAAAAAAAAAATAAAAGAGTCGATTTTTATTAAATATTTGTTTTTTTCCAATTAAAATTTTTTTTTTTTTTTTCATTAATTATCGCGAAAAAAACCCTCATTTTTAAGTAACCAATCAAAACGATTCTAAAAACTTGTTATTATAATAATTAATGTGATAAAGAAATTGTTTTTTTTTTTTTTTTTTATAAATATGGATGGGTAGTATGCTTTTTTTCTTTAATTTAAAAAAAAAAACCCAACCCATCAATTTCGAATCGCCACTTCCTACTTAAGACATTTACATACAAAAAATCGAATAGTTTTGGTATTAAAAAATATTATTTTTTTTGTTAATATTGGGGTTTTTTTTTTTTTTTTTTTTTTTTTTTTTGTTTTTTTAAGGGGGGAGGGGGGCTTATGGGGAGAAGTGTGGGCACGAAATAATTTTTAAAAAAGAAGGTTTTAAAAATTTTTTTTC